TGGTCCTCGCCCACCTGTCGCCCGCCGGGCCCCTGGGGGACCTGCTCCTCGGCGGAAGCGCTCTCGATGCCGCTGTCGGGCCCAGAGGCGGAGCTCAGGGTGCTGCGCTCGCCCTCGACGGCGCACAACCAGTCGCGCACCTTGCGCGCGGCGGCGCCGGGCAGCCCGGGCTCGGCCTGCAGTTCGCGCAGGAGGCAGTAGGCGGCGTCGGTGCGGGCCCGGTAGTGCGCGCACTCGGCGTCCAGGCGGGCAGCGGCCGCGGCGGACGCGACGGCGGGGCCCGGGGCGCGCCGGCCGCGGTGGATGATGCGCGTCTCCGAGCGGTGCCGCGGCGGACCCCGCGCGCCCGCCGCCGCGTCCTGGGACTGCCGCTCGGCGTCAGGCCGCCAGTTGACAGTGGCGCGGTTGCGGATGTTCTGGGCGCGGCTGGCGTAGTTGAGGGTGTGGAGGGTCTCGTCGAAGTCGGAGGAGGAGGGGCTGACGCAGGCGATCATCACCGTCTTGGCGTTGCCGCCCAGGGAGTCCTTGAGGATCCTGAGGGCGCCAGGGGAGGCGCATCAGGGGCCCCAGCGCGCCGGGAGCCGCGGTGCAGACCCCGGTGCCCGGCCCTTGGCGTGGTTCCCCGGGGCCGTCCCCTCTTCCTGCGCGGACAGCGCGCCCCGCCAGCACAGCCTCTCGTCGCTGCCCCTAACCCCGGGGGCCCGATGGAGGCCATGACCGACGGGGGCGGCTCACCGGGTGATCTTGGAGTCCCGGTAGGGGATGTGGCTGCCGCGGCGCTGGGCGTCGCCCAGGGCGCTGATGACGTTGCCCAGCGCCAGGAGGCTGCTGTTGATCTGGATGCTCTCCTTGAGCCGCTCTCCCGTGCTGCCCGTCTTGAGCACCCGCTCCGAGCCCGCCAGGTCCACGAAGTGGAACTTGGAGACGAGTAGCTGGCCCGCGGCAGGTCGCGGCAGGCGACTGGGGATGCGCCCCCGCTGCTCCAGGGTCACGGTGAAGACGGCGTGGGAGCGGCTGGAGAGGCGGTTGAAGTGCGTGGCCCCCGTGTGCCGCGCCGCGTTGCCCACCTCCAGGAGGCTCAGCACCTCATCCAGGCCCTCCACGTCCACCTCCTTCACCCCACACAGCACTGGGGGCAAAGAAGGCTGTGAGCCCGGGGCAGGGACGGCGCGGACCCCCTGGCCAGGAGGGCCGGAAAGGCAGGGCTTGCCTTGCACAGCACTTCCTGCCTCCGTGTCCCTCCCCGTACCCAGGGGCTCCCGCCCATCATGGTTCGGGCTTGAGGGCTCCAACTTGCCCCGCACCCCTCGGTGCCTCTCAGGAGGGGTACAGAAGTGTATGCTGAATGCAGTGGGCAGGAGAAATGAAAGCAAAACCTTCCAGAGGGAGGGTCTCCCAGTTCAGAGGTGCCCCTCCCAGAGAAGCAAGCCACCCCTCGGCAGGTGAAGACTCCTAGAGCCAGGTGCCCCCTGCCAGCCAACAGAGGGCCCAGAGGGCCTCACCAACATTCCCACGGTCATCCTCCCGAAGCTGGATGTCACGGCTGGCGGTGCCCATCTCCAGCAGGTCTCGGAACTCCTCCTTGTACACTTCCAGGTAGGACACATGCAGCAGGCAGTCAAGCAGGTCGTTCTCATCGATAAGCTTGAAGGCCTCGGCCATGGCCCGTGGGATGATGCCCTGCTCATCCTCATGAAGGGAGGCTGGGGACACACCAGACGGCCTCCTGCCACCATGCCTTCAGCTAGACACAGCCCAAGGCCCTTACCGGCAGCGGGACAACGGGCCTCCGGCATGGAGAAGGTAGCAGAAGAGGCCAGGATGAGCTGGGCCATCTGAGCCCGACCATGCTCTGGGTGGTCAGGCAGAATTACAGAACTTCAGAGTTGGAAGCAACCACTCCAGATTCAGCCGACCCCTTTCATGATGTATGCGTCCTCTCTACTACAATCTAGCTGATCATCAGATGCCCTTGGCTTGATTACTCCCTGGGACAGGGAGCTCATTATAGTAGTCTAAATTCAGTTATCTAAAGGACCTTCTAAACTTATCCCAAGGAAGTAATAAAAGGATGTGCAGAGCAACACTCTTCTTCATAATTAAAAATAAAAAAAAAAAAAGACATCCTAAGTGTCCATCTTAAGATCCAATAGGGGATCTGGTTAAATTACCAGATATTCATAATGGAAGGCCAGGAAGTGCTTAAAAATTAGACTGAAGGATATTTAATATGATATAGGGAGATGTTTATGATACATCATTTAGAAAAAAACAGGGTAAAAAAGAATGAGTATAATATAATCCCTTTTTTTAGTATAATAATTTTCACAATGAAACTGGAATGCTAACAGGGTGAGTGATTTCTGAAAGGCAATTACCAAAAGTTTAGTTTTATTTTGTGCTTGTGTTTTTCTGTATTTTCCTAATCTTCTATGACGAACATGCACTTTTATAACCTAAGAGAAAGTCGTTCGTGGCTACTTAAAATGGGGCATTTCTTTCAGTTGAGCCCTAAGTGTCTCTCCCAAAACTGCTGGAGTCCGACTGAATGAGCTGACTCCCTGACATGCAAGCCAGTGTGTCTCTCTTCCACTCCAACCACTCCAACTAGAACATGGATGGCTGACCCTTAGCAGCCATCCTGATAACCTCCAGAGACAAGCCAACTTCCTAGAACCAGAGAGTGGCCCCATTTCTGTGGAGTTGAGAGGCCACTCACCTCCAAGAACCCTTCCCTCCTGCCCTTCCCAGACCACTGGCATGGCTGGTCCCACAATGGGCTGTGCACCTGTCCCCCAGCACTCCCACCTTCAGCAGGGAATAGTAGCAAGAGGGCAGGTGCAGAAATTCAGGAGACACCAGGGCCTGTCAACGTGGGCTCAGGGTCTCAATCAGGGCCACTCACCCACACTGGCCTCCCCCATGGTGTACGTCTTCCCAGAGCCTGTCTGACCATAGGCAAAGACGGTGGCATTGAAGCCCTCAAAGAAAGCCTCGAGGAGCGGCTGCACACAGGCCTGGTACACAGCCTCCTGCCCGGCGTCCTCATCCAGCACCACGTGGAAGCCAAAACGGCGGTCTCGACCCAGGGTGACACAGCCATGCCCCGACTCCACCCTCAGGCAGGTCTGGTGGCCATGCAGCAGCTCCTTGGGCAGCAGCGGGCGGACTCGCAGGGCCACCCTCACTGGGGCCTCCTCAGCCCCTGGCAGCCCCTGGGCCTCCAGCCCCATGCCGAGGGAGGGCTGCTCTGGGCCCTGCAGAGAGAGGAAGAGGGCCCTGCCATCAGCGCCAGTGCTCCAGGGACTGGACTCACCCTGCATGTGATCTGGAGCCAGATCCTGCAGCTTCTGACCCTGGTGAGATGGAGGGGAGGGCGGTCCAAGTTCAGAACATCTGTGCCCGAGTGTAGCGCCCAAATGCTGCACGTCCTACACAGTGACATCGGATGGCTCCCATCACTGGCAAAATAAGGCCCTAACTCCCCCACTTGACTCCCAAGGGCTCATGTTCCAGCTGTGCCTTCCCCTGTGACCCTATCTCCTAGAAGAACACACACACCCCAGGCAACACCCACAGTCTCTGCTCTGTCACCTCAAGCCCTTCTCTACCCAGCTCTTCAAAAAATCAATAGATCCTTCCAGACCAAGCTCCCACCACCAAATCCTGCCAATTCCATCTCCCAAATACCAAGTTCATGTGCTTCTTCCCATCCTGTCACCAAAGCCCTGGTCACTGACATCTTGATGGGACGACAGCCTCCTCACTGGTCCCAGCCTCCCTGATGTCCCTCCTACCCGGGGCATCTTTGAAAATGGCAAACGTGACTGTGTCACTCTACTGCTTTAAATTCCCCCCAAAAGAAGCTCCCACTGCCCTTGAAATTCAAAACCTTAACAGGAAAAAAACAAAACACTTTAACAGGCCCTGCCTGCCCTGACTACTCACCTCCCGTCCCCTACCTCTCCTCACTTTCTCTGCCAGCTCCCTGCCAGGAGTTGCCGGAGCTTCCTCCCCTCTCTGCACTTACGCTGGCCACACCTCCTTCAGGGGGCCAGGGAGGCGCCCCTGCTTTGTGCCCACCGCTACACACGCAACGCCCCCTAGGGCTCCCATCAGCCATTGGCCACTATTTTGCAATTGGCAGATTTTGAGCTGGTCTCCGCTACCTCCCAGACGGCGAACTGGGAGGCAGGGACCTTTCCGTCCCCCTCGTGCTGTGTCTCCAGCGCCCAGCACAGGTGCCACGCTTAGAAGCTGTCCAACAGTGAAGCGTAATCTTCATCAGGGAACCTTCCCCAGCCTCATCCTCACCGCAGTCCTCATTGCCTCCTACCCGCGGGGCCACAGCACTTTTTCACCATTTAACTCTTAGCACAAGTAACGGTTCGTTCGTTCAATCATTCAGTCCCTGCTGGGTGCCCGGCCCTGGGGACAAAGAGGTGGCTGCCACGCAGTACTGTGGGCGCCTTCGCGGCCCGCTCACCCTGAGCGTCCCCAGCCCCGGGCGGTCCCCGCTCCTCCGCTCACGGACGACTGTCCCGGGAGCCGGCGGCGGGGGGGGGGCGGGCAGCTCCCGTAAAGTGTGGAGAAAGGGCTACGAATGCGGACTCGACCCCCGCAGCGTCGGCGCCCGCTCCTCCTGGCCCGCCACGCCGGCCGCAGGCCCCCGACTTAGGGAAGGGGGCTCCCGCCCGCTCCCGGAGGGGCCTCCAGGAGGCCGGGAGGCAAGGGTGGGGGCTCCGCGTGCTCGGCCAGGGCTTCGCAGGCGCGCCGGCCCCCAGGGCCGTCGGGCCCAGGCGAGAGCAGGGAGGGCCAGGGTGCGCCCGCCCCCACCCAGCCCCGTCCTCGGACCCCAGCCCGCCTCGGGCCCACACCCACCGGCTTGGCTGTGGACGCCGTCCCCCCGCGCTGCAGTCGGGCTCCCCGCCCCAGCGCGGCGCGCTCTGATGCCGTCATCGGGACCCCCGCCCCCCCAAAACATCCCGCCCCTCACCGCTCCCAGGCGGAGGCGCAGGCCGGGCGGCGCCGCGGAGTCTGTCCGCAGACGGGACGGGGCGGGGCGTGCCTGAGGGGCGGGGCCGCGCGGTCCCGGGCCCCGACTGGCCCCGCCCCCCAGCTGGGGATGCGCGGACCGAGGCGGCCTGCTTCTCCCAGCTGGAGAAGCCCATCTGCTCACGGGCGGGGCGCTTGAGTCTCAGAATGCAAGTTGTAACAGGTGAGCAGACCAAAACTAGCTAGGAGACCTTTTCGCTTAGGGTGGGGAGGGTGGATCTTTCAGCCCTGAGCCTCTACTTATTGGTGGGCTTAAGACAGCTGCTCTTCGCGCGTTTGTTCGTACATTCATTCATTCAGGTGCAGACCCTCCGTGCTTCCGCTATTTCTACTCCTCTGTCGCGTCCTCAATTTCAGCAAAGCTCTCCCTCCCCAGACCCCTGGGAGCCTCCAACCCTCTTCCTACGGTATACAATTAAGGAAAACCTAAAAATTCAAGAAATTAGGAAATGTATAGAGCAATCAGTTATACATATGGAAGAAAATTTTGGATTCATACTCAAACCATACATACAATTAATTAAAGGTAAAAAGCAAAGCTATGAAAATACTCAAAAAATAAAATATAGGGCAATATCTTCATGATTCAAGGTAGGGAAGAGTTTTTAAAGCATAACTCAAAATTGCAAAATACAAAGGAAAAGAATTATAATTTTGACTATATTGGTCAAAACTTTTGGTTATTGAGGGAAACCATAGAGGATGAAGAGATAAGCCACAAACTGAAGATATTTGTGACACATATAGCTGATAAAGGATTAGTATACAGAAAATAGAAAAATCTTCTAAAAATCAATGATAAAAAGAAAACTACCAATAGAGACCTACTCAAAAGTATGGCAGATACTTCACAGAAGGTGAAATACAAATGTTCAATAAAGCTAAGCAATATTCAGTATCATTGCTAATCAGGGAATTAAATCCACAATGAGGTACCATTTTACACACATTTGCAAAACATAGTAAAACTAGACAATATCAAGTGTTGGTGAGAATATTGAGTAAGAGGACTCACATACTTCTGGTGAGAATGTAAATCAGTATGGACATTGGAGAACAGTTTGGTAGCATCTAGTTAGCGATACAGATACTTTATGACTTAGCAACCCCACTCTTAGGCATATTCCCTAAGAAACTCATAAGAATGTTCACTGCCAGAAGTATGTAATAGTTAAAATATTGAAACAAATGTCTGAGAATGAGAGAATCATGTGGCAGAGATTGTAAGTTGCTCCCCACCCTCAGGATCCACTTCCCATGCCTTTAAGACGCCTGATTTTTAACTAGATGCATAACCACTTCAAAAAAAGACCGTGTTTCCCAGGCTCCCTTTCAGCTAGATGTGGCCATGTGACTAAATTTTGTCCAGTAAATTATAAATGGAAGTGGTGTGTTTAATTTCTTCTTCCCTCTTGTTCTTTTCTGTGGCTGAAATATAGAGATGATGCCTGGGGCAGGAGCAGCTATCTTGGCCTATGAGATGACTTTGGGAAAAAAAGTCACTCAGAGCAGAATGATAAGATAGAAAAAGCGTGGACCTCTGTCACTGTAGTGTGCCATCCCGGCTCCGGCTCTGGACCACTCATCTCTGCATTTTTACATGAGAGAGGAATAAACTTCTATCATGTTTAAACCACTGTGTGCTAGTTTGTGTTATTGTTCAGCAAATGTTTTCTCCTCTCCCTCTTCTGCATCCCACTGATGTGGACTTGGCCATATGACACACCTTGGCCAATGGAATATGAGTAGACATGATGCAAGTAGAAGCCTTGTGTGCCAGGGGTTTGTTAGTGAGACGATGCCCTGGACAGCCACCGACCACTTACGCTGGAACTCTGAAAGGTTCTCTCTCTTACGTTGAGTGGTGGGTAGAAGGGAGCAGCAGTGTGTCGTAGGAGACCTGACTGAGCGTGAGCAGGCTCAGGCCCCTCTCTGCAACAGAGGAACCCCTGCATGCTCACTAACCATAGCAAGATTCCGATAAGACATGCAGAGGTTCCCACTGACTCAGGGTTTGTAGAAATGTTTAGAACAATTTGAGTTTTCAGTTTGTAATCAACAATTAAATATATAAAATAGCTCGATGTATGCATTTGGTAAGTTTTAAGTATGAAGTGTTTAAATGGTTGGGAAAATCATGCTTACTACAATGGGCGTTAAAGTCTAAGTTGTAGTGATCTTTCTCTGGACAGAGAAGTCCTTCAGATATTAAGACCCTCAGTAATTACGGAAAAAGGAAGTGATAAGTAACTGCATGTATAAATGTATGTTATTGTCTATAGTGGTTCTTTTTCCATCTCCAAAAGCTGTGACTGAGTTGGAGGTGCGTTTTATGAGCTAGAATAGAATAGGGGGGACTCGGTGTTTCTCTGGAGAGGGACCCTGGCATCCCATGTGAAGTGGCAATCTTCCCGAAGTCCTGAGCTTGCAGATGAGTGTGGATAAGACTTCACATACACATGAGCACAAAGGCTCACCAGAGTGACGCCTCTCAGAGCCCAGCAAAGTCCCACATCCAGCTTGGGGCCACCAATGCGAAGTTCTGTCATTTAGAGAAGATACTTTGCTCTCATTTCTGTACATCTGGGCCTGATGTCACTTCTCCTGCAGTCGTCCACAGAGCACTGTCTTCTTAGCCCTGACATATCAGTTTCTAAGGGCCCCTCCTGCCAGATCCACATCCCTTCCCCAGGGAACTGCTGGGGGTGGTATGGATTGTGGGGGTGGAGTGTGGGTCTAAGGCCAGCTCAGAGTCCTGGCCATGACCACATATGTATGTCCACCAGCAGACCCCTCTCCCCCTCCTGAGCATGCTCAGATTCCAAAACCATGGATCAAGACCAATGACTCATGAAACCAAAGACGTGTCAGGGTCCAGAGTCAGTTTCAGGGAACTGGGCTTTCAAGCGTGCAACAGAGCAGGGATGGTGAGGGCACTCCTGAGCCTGACGGGAGCCCATAGGGCATAAGTGTGCATATATGGATTCTAGAAGGACTGACAGAGGTATCATAATTATCTGTGCAGCTGCAGAGGAAAATATCAAGAAAAACCAAGTTTGGGTTGGAAGGCTACTTAGCATCATCTATCAATATTCAAAATGCACCTACTCTTTTACCCAGTGTGTCATGGTTCCAAGTTATGAGTTTATCCTATAGATACATCCTCCCATCCACATGAGCCATTTATATAAGGACATTTATTGTAGCATTGTTTACAAGAGCAAAAAACTGGAAACAACCTAGAAGTCCATAATTAAGAATGAGTTAAATCAAATATAGAACATCTGTGTTATGAAGCATTTATTATGTGGCCGTTGAAAAGATCAAGGAGGATTTATGATGCAGATACAAAAAGATCTCTAAGATGTATTGTTAAATAAGAAAGCAGTATAACAGCCCACAGCTTGTGTACACAAAGTGGAGAGTATATACACACGTACTTGCACACGCACAGCCGGTAACCGGGAGGATATACAAGAGCCTGCCATCTTGGTTGTTTCTGTGAAGGGGAAGCCGGGAACTCAGGGAGGAAGACACACAAGTTTTAAACTGATAGGTATGCAATTCCTAGATTTACCAAATGTTAGAATTTTAAAAAGTGGGGCTTGAAATGAACTGTGCCTATAGAGCCCATACATACGGTCTATACAGGATAGGCTTTGTAAGGTGAACGGTCACTGCTGTCCCCAGCACTGGGGCGCCGGCAATCAAAAGACGAACGAAGGGGGACTACGCGGGTGGAAGGCAGTGAGGATGCTACGGGCCAGAAGGCGGCGCTACAGAGCACAGGCCGGGCCCCGCCTGTGGAGGGCACCGGGATCTCAGAAAGTGACGCTGATAGTTTCCATGAACACACAAGAGCTGCTGCATCTGACTGTTGTTCTTTCAGAGCAGTCGGGCGACAGCCGGGATAATTTGGGGAACCCCTGAGCTTTAAAAAACCCCTGAGGTTTAAAAAGTGTGTCGGGACCTCCCGTGGGACCCTTAGAGTGGACACACGTTACTCACTGGTGGCAAATACCTGTCTACAGAGAAAGGACCTAAGTTTTTGAAGCAGTCAAATTTGTCATCTGGCCACAACTTTGGTTAGAGAAGCGAGAGATTAAGTTAGTCAATCTTTTGGTAAAAAAAACAAAGCATACAATCAAAGCGGATGCTGCCCTGATGCTTCTTAAAAATGGGCTCTGACAGCGGAGCCCAGAGAGGATGCTACAGGTGCCGCGCGCCTGAGAGGCACGGGGGGAACGGGGCTCGGGCCAAGGCGACGACTTTGCAGAAGCCAGCGCTCCCCTGGACGGGAGGGTTCCGTCTGCCGGGCGGCTCAGCTCTTCTTGCGCAGCTGGCTGTACTGCGCGCGGCCCAGGATGGGCTCCATGACGCTGGGCCGGAAGAAGCTGTCGCTGACCCGGCGCGCCGGCTTCTCGCGGGGCCCGGCCGGGAAGGCGGCGCGGGGCGCGGCGGGCCCTTCCCCCCTGCCGTCGGGCCCCGGGCCCCGCGCGCTGCGCAGGCCGCCGCGGGGCGGCGCGGGGCGCGAAGCGGGCTCGGGGCTGGCGGGCGGCGCTGCGGACGCCCTGCGCTCCTCATCCCGGCCCTCGGCCTCGGCCGGCGGGTTGTCGATGTCCCGGAATTCGCTCTCGGGCTCCATCAGCGACAGCCTGGGGAGCTGAGCGCCCGGTGGCTGTGTTAGGGCGCCGGCCCAGCCCTCGGCCTGCGCCTCTCTCCCACCGCCAACTCTGGGGCCCGCGAGTTCACGCCCCCCAGGAGCGGCCGTCTGAGGGCACGGGTTAGGGTGTGGGGCTGGTGCCTCCCGTCAGTTGTGGGCTAAACATGCCCATACATTGGCCCCAGCCAGGGTCAGGGTACCCATTTGTGGCCCGGTTTGGGAGCCAAGGTTAAGAGGCTGGCTGCCAAGCCCCTCCCACGCACCCATGCCTCTTGGTGGGCATGAGTGACAGAGTGACACAGCCCCTGGCCACCCCTAAGGGGCCTCCTGCCCTGGCCAGCCCTCCTTGAGCCTGCACAACCTGTAACTTGCTCTTGTAAGGGGACTAGGGACCCCCAAAGGGAAAGTATTTGTGTCCCTTGGGTTTTTCTTGTTGATGGAGGGTAGAAAGGGGAGCAGCTGCTGCCCCCCAGAACACAGCTCACCCCTCAGAGTGCCCCAGAAGCCTCTCTGCAGCCCCTTCCCCGGAAGCAGCATGCAAAACTGCTGGGTCCTTCAGGTGGGAGCTGAGGGGTGAGGGCTGAGCCACTGGAACCCCCCAGTCTGGTAGTGGAAGACCTCCCCACCAGCAGATGAGAAGGAAGGACGTGGGGAAAGGCCTCAGGCCAGAGCCACCGGTCTCTCTCCTCGAGGCTGGGAAGGGCCCCAGGCAGGACCACAGTTTGCCAAAATGTTTCTGGGGCACTGCGGATCAAAAGAGGGCCACCAGGGACACTGGGAAAGGGCGGGCAGTGGCAGCCCCTTGTGTCAAATCTGTTTTATCTGCCCTTTCCAGGCCCCGAGGAGGAGGGAGGGTCAGCCTGCTGGGACTCACCGGCACGTAGTGCACCACCGTGTCCACCACGTTGTCAGTAACACCCTTCAGGGCATCTGAAAGGGACATGGCTCTCCCCTTGGTGGAGGAGACAGCGTGGGCCGGCGTGAGGTGCAGCACCCTCACTGCCGTGCCCAGCACAGCCGACGGTGCCCAGGTCACCGCGGCGATGGTGCTCTGGAGGGCCTTCTGCAGCGTGTGCGCCACACTGCCCAGGAGGCCTTGCGGTCTGGGCAGGGCTGCCACCTGGGGGCCAGAGCAAGGTCAGCACCTGCTGTAGCCACTCCTCTGCCCCTTTCCCTTCCATGATCCATGGAGAAAACTGTTAGCCTGGCTCCACCACTAGCTGTGTGGCCTTTGGCAGGACACTTGGCCTCTCTGAACCTCAGTTTCTTCATTTGCAAAACGGGGATGACAAACTCAGTCCTGCCTATTTTATAGGGTTGTTTGAGGATCAGCTGAGAGAAGCGCAGAGGACTTTGTCGGCTGGGCGTTTGGAGGTGCGGTGAAGCGCGCTGCACCATGTCCCATGTCCCATGTCCCTGGGCCTGGGAGCAGAGACCCTTGTCTCACCCTGTGCCTCAGCTGCTCACCCACTCCGTGGGCTGTGGGGCCTCGGAGCCTCCGCCCCCCCACCCCAGCCCCCACCGTCTCCCTTACCTCGCTGAGCTTGTTCTCCTCCATCTCTGATTCCTCGTCCTCCGTCTCCTCCCCCTCTGTGTCCGTCTGGTCCTCGCGGTCCTCCTCCTGGGAGGCCGTGCGGTGGTGCAGCCAGGGCACACGCACCTCACTCTGCCGCCGGGACAGCACCTGCACAGCGGCTGAGGCACCCCACTGGGCCAGGCTGCTCTGAGGGCGGGAAGGCGGAGGGCGCTGTCTCAAAGCCCTTGCGCGAGGTGGGCAGTCGCGGCAAGCAAAGAAATTCCCTTGCCCCCAGCTTGCAGACCCTTCTTAAAACTTTTCACTGAGTGATGACTTCCGTATGCTGAAGTGCATGCACCTGCAGGGTATGGCTCTGGGTTTTTTTTTTTATAGGAATGCATGTGGAACCACCACAGATCAAGAAAGAGACCATTTCAACACCCAGAACACCGTGTGCTCCCTGCCCACTCAATACCCTACGAAGGTGACCATATTTGGCCCCTATCATCATACACTGGTTTTGCTGTTTTTGAACTTTGGACTCATGCAATGTGTTTTCTCTCCTAAATAGCTTCCTTTGTTCAATATGACGCTGTGAGATTCGGCCATGTTATTGCTTGATGAAGTTGTCCCTTCTTTTTCATATCTGTGTAATATCCCACTGCATAACTATACCACAGTTTAGACATTCTACTGTTGATGGACACTCGTACTGTTTCTGGTTCGTGGCTGAGAATAAAGCTGATAGGAATATTTTGACGTGTCTTCTGGGGGACATGAACGCTCATTTCCCTTGAGTGGAATTGCTGGGTCAGAGGGGAGATGTATGTTTCACTGTAGTAGAAACACTCTGCAGATCTTTAAAGGGTAAAAAGATCAAGTAGGCCAGAGTGTCCCGTCGGAGGAAACTGACCTGGGAGGGTGGGCTGGTGTCCCCTGAGGGACTCCTTGGCTTATTCCAAACCCCTAGAGAGCCCCACAAACAGGGCCTCCTTAGGGGACAGCTTCAGGGGACACCATCATATCCTAGGTGAACAGGGGTGCCTAAGGCCATGCCACCCAGGGGGCCTCACCACCAGAGGCTAGTCAGGTGCAGAGGTTACTCTCAGCCCCCTTGGTGATGACCCCAGTGCAGGGGACAGAGGGGAACTACTCCTGCATCCCTGCTGTAGCCACAGAACCTGCCACATAGCAGGTTCTCAGCAAACGTCTGCGTGAATGAATAAGCCAGTCCTGAAGATGCTTTTAAAAGTACCACCCAAATGATGACTGAGAAGTGGTTATCTTGGTTGTTGACCTTTATGCTTTTCCTTTATGGTCTTAGTTTCTTACTAAAGCTCCTTATGAAAAAAACCAGCCTATCTCTGCTGAAACACACAGAGAAGCAAGGATGGAGTGTGGTGGGGACTTAGCCCGAACTGGGCCTAGAAAAGGCAGCTGCACTTTGGGCGCAGTGACTACAAATTAGAAGTCTCTAGAAGGGAACTCAGAAGCCTGAGGGCAGTTAGGGGCAGGTCTAGCTGGGGCTCTCTTCTCAACAGACAGGGTTTTGTTGCTTATTTACAGGTATCATGCCCTGGTGCCTGGACAGCAGATGAGGGTCTCTGCACCCTCACGGGTGGGAGGGCCCACAGCAAGTGGCCCACTGGGAGGGTGAAGGTTGGGGTGGACTCAGAGAAGAAATGGGAGAGACAGAAGTGGACAGCGAGCCAGGACCACCCTAGCAAGCTGGCTTGCCCTCAGCTCATATCCTGTCCATCCTCTCCCCTTGAGGCCTGGAGGACCAGCCCTCTGCCCTTCTTAAGGCCTCTTGTCCTCAGACCTAAAGAACCAGCCCAGGCTGGAAGAGATGCTCCCAGCAGAGGAGGCCGAGTCGGGTGGGGGATGGGAGGGACCAGAGCACCCACAGGGCTGCCAGGCCGGCAGTCGGAGCTCAGGCAGACACTCACCAGGGGTGCCACACCCGGGATCCACATGGCCAGGGCGTGGCCCTGCTTCAGCGCCTGCGCTGTGGTCTGGAAGGTGTGTCGAGAGAGGGTGTTGGCCAGGGCCCCAACCCTGCTCACGAGGCTCTGCTGGGCCTTGAGAGGCTTCTGGGCCTGCTGATGCCCTGGAGCAGAGGCTGGATGGAGGTTTTGGAGGGGAAGGGAAAGCAAATCAGAGAGGGGTTGGAGGAAGCTAGGCCGTGTCCAGGCTGGAGAGCAGCCGTCCTAGCCCCACCACAAGTTCCCTGGGGATTCTGGCAACTCACTCCCCCCACTTACAAATAGGTGAGGGTCTGAAAATCTCACGGGGCCTTCCCTGTTCCAGCACTGGCTGCAGGAGCCCTGGTTGCCTCTTGCTAATACCCAGGCAGCCAGGGTGGCCACCTCACTTCCCAGGGTGGGTCTGCCAGCCCCCTCAATGGCAGATACCTGAATCTTCCTTGGCTGGAGGGAGGAGGAACTCTACCACCTTCTCAACACCACTCAGGGCCAAGTCGGCACCTCCAGAGGCCAGCCGGCCAGCTCGGGTGTGGGTGGCATACTCGGCAGTGTCTCTGGCTACCCCCCAGGCACGCTCACAGCTGGACAGAGCGGCCCCCAGGACCTTGTCCGAAGTGCTGGCGATGGGCACGCTGATGCTGTTCCTGGCACTTCGGAGACGGGTAGAGATGGTGTCCTTCAGCTCAGAGGCGATCTGGGGGAAGTGGGAAGTGGGATCAGGCATGTAGGTCCGGCAGGCCCTGAGCTCAGCTTCCATGAAGGCACTGAAAGGCCCAGGGCACTGGCCCCAGTACTTAGGCACCTTGATTAAGCTTAGCTTTAAAGGAAGAGGGCGCCAGTCCTCTCCGTGCCAACTTCCCAGATCTCCTGGCTTCTTTGTACTCCATTTCTGCCTGCAAGATCCTAACCATCCTTTGAGGATCCCCTGCAAGGCCGCCGCCTCCTTGATGACATCTGTCCTGGAATCCTCCTGCACACACGGTATCTCCTTCCCAATTCCTCTGCCGGCCTCTGTCCTTCCCTCAGAACACGGCTTACATTCCCAGCTGTGTTTATACGAATTTATAGATGTGGCTGATCCTCATACAAAGTCTGCACTGAAATAACTTGTCTTTCTCTCCTATTAGCCTGGGAGAGACTATGTGACAAAGATATGCCCTTCATCTGGAAAAATGAAGGGTGAAGAGCACAGACCTCAGGGCCAAACGGACCCGCTCCTGTGTGGCCTCCACTTAAGGCTGTGTAGCCACGGGGAGGTCACAACTTTCCTCTCCTACCCCAGAGGGTCGACAAAAGGATTCAATGGGAAGACTGGATAAATCCCGTGGCATAAGGTGCGTAGGGCTCCGTGGATGTTTGTGTGACGGGTAGGTGGTCATTGAGCTGGATGACAGAGTGGGAGGCTGAAGCTTAGTCCACACAAGGCCTGACGTGGACTTCACTCGGTATTCGCGTACCCAGTGAACACATCCCCAGATGAAGTGCTTTCCCATCTCATGGCCCACAGAGGACAGGAGACTGCAGTCCGAGGATCTGATGGCTGAGACCCGTGACCTTAGGCAGCTGAAGTCCCCAAGTGGTCCAATGCAGGCCCACAGGGTTTCAGGGGCCAGGTGGGGGGCAATCAGGATGCATCCCAAGCTCCTGTTTGAGTTTGTCTCTGGGCTGCGCCTGCTGGTCCCAGAAGGCCTGCCTTCATGTGGCCCCACAGAGAGAGGAGGAAGCCCGTTGTGAGGCCTTAGGGCCGGGCAGCTGCCACCAGCCTTGGAGGGTGTTGGCCACAGAGACTCACAGTCACAGCATCGTCAGCCTGGGGCTGCTCCTCCCCCAACAGGCAGTGACTACAGAGTGGGGGGCACCTTAGAGAAGAGGGGAGGGACTCACCTTCTCAGGAGGGTACTGGAGGGCTGGGATCTTTTCTTCCAGGTGGTCCAGGCCTCGGCAGGCCAGCTCGTTGGCAGCCGTGACTAGAAGTGAAAGGCCATGGTGTGGTGAGCCCCGCCTCCACCGTGAGCACCTAGCAGCGGCCTCTGTGCCAGGGAAGGTGCCTCACAGCCCTCAAACCCCAGCCCTGCTGCCTCCCAAGCACCTCAGAACCAGCCACCTTTAGCCCCCGTCTGCTGTGACTCCTTGAGACTAGGTGTTGCCTTCCCTCCCGGTAGGGGCTCTGCAGTCAGGCAGTCCTGCTGGCAAAGCCCAGCACCTGCATCTGCAGCGTGGGCCCTCCGGCAAGTCCCAGCCTGCCTGAGCCTCGGGTCCTTCGTGTGTGGACCGTGGATGGATGGTACCTGCCTGGCAGGAGGAAGTGATGGAAACTATGTGAATCACCAAAAAATACTGTCCTTCCTTCTGCTCCCTCCCCTCTCTGGGTGAGCAGAGAGCAGAGCAGAGGTGTGAGGGGAGGGTACCGGAGGGCCCGAGGGTGGGCTCCGGGGGGAACAGGCCTGGCACTACCTAGTCTTGGAGGGGACTGCCTCCCGCCACAGCCCTTCCAGGCCTCAGGCTGTCTTTGGCCCTTCCTGCTCACTCTAGGAGTGAGACGGCCAACCGTGGGGAGACAGCCACAGGGACGAGAAAGGCATTGTCCCCAGAGAGCCAGAAATGCCAGAGGACGCAGAGGCTTCCGGGAGATACTGCCTAGGGGCCGCTGAGGATATGAGCTCTGCAGTCATGATCATGGAGATGAGTTTCAAAGGATGCTTACATATTCTCTTTCATATGTTCCTTCTCCAGATAGCTTATATTTCTTCACACAATTCTCAAGTGTCAGAGACCAGATGACTTGGCTGTCTTCTGACTGGGCAAAATGAGACCCAGGGGAGTATTTAAGGAGCTTACAGGCAGGAAGGCTGGCCCAGGGCCTGAGTCCTCTTTACATGTGTTCTCGCCTGTTTGCTCTGCAGAATCTTCAGATACCCATAATTCTCCCATCAGGGTGGTGGAAGGCCCTAGGCTTCTCAGGGCTGCTGGAATTTCCTTCAGCCCTATCAAGAGTCCTATCTTGGAGACCAAATGTTCAAATGGGACAGGATAATTTTAACAGAGGCAGGTCTGATCAGGCCCGCATGGACTGCTGTTCACCGCTGGTGCCCTGACAGGCAGCTCTCGGCTGCCCCTGCCTGTCACAGGCCAGTAGGTACCCTCAGCGGCTCGGCCCAGAGGCTTGCCCTTCCCCAAAGCTCCCCCCAGCCCTGCCAGGCCAGCCCTTGTGTTGCCCCTGCCCTGTGCCAGACCCTGTTAGTTCCTGCTGCTGCTGGATTTAAAGCTAGCGTGGTGTCTGGTCTGCCACGGGCCCCCTCCCAGCACTGCCCACATAGCCCTACCCATCCTTCCCCTGCCGAGTCTTTGGACCATCATTGTCTTCCTAGGAAAATGCCAGCTGGGCTATAGGTGAGGCATCTCCAGGTGAGAAGAGATCTGCACCTGTATTTATCTACATCGATCTGTACCTACATCACTTGTATCTACAGATGAGAAGACTTGTAGGTAGTTAGGAAGGCAGTCAAATGAAAAAGCAGATAGACATGCTGGCAGAGAGACAAGTAAGCTATGAGACCATCAGACAGGCTGACAGACAACCAGACTGGCAGGCAGGCAGTGCATCCGTGAGCAGGCGGGCAGCCTCTGAGTGCCTCGAGGACTCACACTGGGTGGACAGCCTGCGGACCACGGGCTCCATGCTCCAGGCTGCCAGGCTGCTGGCGCCCTGCACGCCCTTCTCGTAGGCATTGCACACAGAGGCCACCAGCGGGTGGGCTTCCTTGGTGCTGGTGTAGGTCTTCTGGAAGCACTCACAGGTGCCGCTCACCACTGGCAGCTGCAGGACGCGCTGGAGCACGTTCTCCTGTTCCTGGCATGGAAGGAAGGCATTCAGGTCACTCTTCCTCCTTCTCCCGCCTCCCAGGAAGGTGGCCCGGGGTCACGGAGCCCATCAGTGAGGCTAGCTCGGTCTAAGAGACCCAGGAGGAAGCCAGGCCAGAGCAGTCTCTGGATGCCCCACACGAAAAACAAGAGCCAGGCCACCATGCTCTCCTGGTCGCAGACCAGGCTCTGCAGCACTACTGAGGCAATCTCCATCCTTCCGGGGCCACACCAGTTGCACCCCACCTTCTAGGCACCCCACCTTGAACTCAGTGGTAGAAAGCACGTGTGTCAGACTGTCTATAGTTTAGTTCACTTTGGATGGTGGCTCCATCTAAAACTTTTTCTGGTCTTTCTGGGACACTGTCTCCCTGCCTGAGTGTGCTGGTCCCACTGCCTAGAAGGTTCCCCTCCCTCCCATGTCCCTCTCGGTCTGGTGCAGTGCCGTCGCCTCAAGGCACAGCATGGACCTCATGTCTGTGAAGCTTCCTGACTCTCCTCCCTCGCATCAGAAGCCACCACTTTCTTCCCAGGTTGTCCATGTTCGTCACGGAGTGCTGGGGTCGTGTGAACACCTGTCTCTCCCTGTAGGCTGTCATCTCTGTGCTTCCAGCGCCCAGCCTAAGACCTGCACAGTAATATTTCTTGAATAAGTGAATCACAGCCAGGGCTGCACCTGGTAGAAAGTGTAAGTTTAGATCTTCCCAGCTGCACAGAATCGCAGAACCTCAGGCCTCCGGGGGGGCCTCTGCAGCAGGAGTCCTTCCCACAGTCTCTCTGGCAAGCGTCTATTTAGACGCCTCCTTGGAATTCACTTGTCCCTCGGAGAGTGGCCTGTGCCCCTCATTGGACAGCAGTGCTCAGCTGAAATCCACCTCTGCCCACTGCGCCACCCACTGCCCTCTGGACCAACACTGAGAAAATCTATTTCATCATTCACAGGCTGCCCCTTCACGAATTCAAAGGCAAGGAAGCCTCCCTTTAGCAGCCCCTTCTCCATGCTAAATATCTCCAGCTCCTAACTTAGCTTATACACTGCTCACCAGCCTGGTCTGGTGAGCCCCTCCTCTGGGCATAGTTTGGGGTTGCCTTTCTTAAAAATACAGCACTCAGGCTTGCAGACAGCGTTCCCCAGGAGGTCTGGGGATGTGAATGGTGAATGAAACTGTCGTTTCTCATTATTGGGGTGCTATGCTCTTATTAATGCATTTTAACTTTGGCAGCAGCCACATTATTCAATTCTAGGTCACCTAAGAATCTTAGTGAAAAAACATTGGTCTTTGAGGAAAGGAATGTGGAGTCCAGTCGTGCAAAGGGAAGCATTTTCAGGACCACTGTGTTCCAGGCACCAACCAGGTGCTTTGGTGACATGACCTCATTAAATTCTAAGTGAGAACCTCTGAGGTCAGCATTCTCACTACTGCAAAGACTCCGAGATGTGAGGTAACTTACCCGAGATCACACAGTTCCTAAATGGCAGAGCCAGGATTCCAACTCAGGCCTGAAATGGCGCATCTGGAATTTGTTTCAAAATAACACAAGGTAGGGGAATAATGAGGATGAGGCAGGCCTGGTGATGGATTAATGGTGGTTGGGGCTGGTGGAGGGTATTGTATTCTCTGGCTACTCTTATGAATGTTAAGAATCCTTCATATTAAAGTCAAAGGAGAAAAGTCGCAGGTCCAACCCACGGCGCCAGCTCTCTGAAGCCTTGGGTGCGGCACTGCTGCGTGGTCCTGCTCTGAGGCAGGGAGCCAGCCCCTGCTGTTGGTAGGAGGCTGCGGTAGAAGGCCCGTCAGGGAGACCTGTGCGTACACGAGACAGCAGGCCACAGTATTTTAGCTTTTTGTCTTCCAGGTGAGTTTGAAATTTGAACTAGAAAAAGATTATGACTGTAAACAAAACATTTTCTTTAACATTTTGGACAGAGCCTCCAGGGGTTGTTTTAGGCAAAGCCCAAGAAGGAGAGAGATCCTGAGAATGGAATAAACCATCGTCCATTAGGCTGACTTAACTAGGCACTTGGCCATTTTATGCCCCTCTGTGTTCTAAGATTCAGTACAAAACCTAACACGGCGATTCTTAGTGCAAAGGTTAAGTAAAGCCTAATTGGGACACCACGGGTATAGCATGCATTCACAAGTTTTAAGTTTCGCTGTCTTAATTGTGCCTAAATCAGAGAGGCCTTGCCAAGAGGCATCAGGCACACCTCAGAGTGTCTAACCAGTCCAAGTCCCGTCAAAACCAGGCTAGTCACCCAACACTGGAAACCTTGCTCCTTTCACCCCTTCCCGCATGCCGCACGGGCTGCACACCAGGTCACTCCAAGAGGTGCCACGTACATGGAGCACGATATGAGGGTGTTCCTGGAGTCACCAAGGGCAGTGACTCAGGCCTGAATACACATGCAGCCTGGGAGGGCAGTCTTCTCCGTCTGAGTTTAGAATACAGTAGCTCCCTTCCTCTTCTGCCCCTCCCTGCAGTATTTCTGTCCTTTTCCTCCAAGGTGCTTAGTTTTAATCAGGCATCTTCCCTCCCCTGCCCAAGATCCTCTACGAGGGCAGGAGTAGCTAGGACGTAATGGGTGATGAGCTAGGCATGTAATCTAGGCCCATCCGACTCAAGGTCCCCTGAACCTTCCCTCCCCGCTCAGCTGTCCACTCCTGACTCAGACAAGCCCAAGTTACTTACGGGGAGCTCTCCATCCAGCAAGGTGGGGCCCTTGTTGACCGCCATCGTAGCTCTTCAGGCTGCAAAGCAGAGGGTCTCAGGTCCATCAGAAGGCCCTCGGCTTGAGGTCCACAGGGCCAGGCCCCTACCTTTCATGGCCACCAGCTGAGCCCAGGATGCCTGGGAGCTCAAGTTCCCTGAACAGAAGGCCTTAGGCTGGAGGGCGAATGTCACGGACGAGTGGCCACACCTTAGAGTCCCATATGGATGAGTTGACCCACAGCCTCCTTCTCAAGACAGATGTTCTTATAAGGGTTCAGGGTAAGAACTGAAAATAATGGTAGCTTTAAGAGATTAAAGGTTTCAGATGAAGTTTAGGGGCTCTTAGATAAGGGCCCAAAGGAGACTAAAAGAACACTTTTCAAGTTTAGTCTCTTTTTTTTTAATGAAAAAGTCTGCATTAATTCTTATTAAGCAAGCTTATCTGGTAATCCTCCCTCCATGCTCAGCCAGGTGAGAAAGCAGTCACTTGCACACCAGCTACTTCAGTTATGTTCTGGAAAAGCTAGTGGCCCAGAACCTCTACTCTGCACGTGGCCATTCTTGGGGAGCAGTCTCTCCCTCAGGGGTTTCCCACAGGCCTCTTCGTCATCAAACCCCCAGCAGGCCCTTACCCTCAACTTCTTTCCTTTAACTCAGAAACAAGGCAGGACAGGTGGATGTTCCAGAACCCCCACGCTCACTCCGGCTGCTGCCACCCCAGGTGCACAGAGCCCAGGCTGTGGAGCGTCTCCTCCGGCAGAAACGATTCCAGTTACTCCGGGGAGCCTTGGGTAATGCTGCTAACACCTCCCAGCCAGAGGAGGGCAGAGAGGAAGAGAAAGCTGGGTCAGCTGGTTGTCATGGCTGTTTAACCCAGGGTCCCCTGGGCATACCCTAACTTCTGCAAGGAGATTGAGCCAAGGAGGAGGTGGACAGCAGAGCTGAAGATCCAGGCTCAAAGGAGTTATTATCCCAGAGCCATGAAATACCAGTTCTGTAATGTTTCCGGCCCCCAGTTTCCAAAAACCTGTTTTCCAGAAAGAAGGTTTTGGGATATATGTTATTAGACTCATAAACTCTAAAGCTTTGGCTCCTTTTCCACATCCTGTCCTGTGGGACCGTTTCCTTCACACCTCCTTATATACCATTGACCCTTAGATTAGCATGCGCACGGGAGCAGGGTTCACCTGAATGTATGACTCTCTGGTGATGAAGATAAAGGGTTCCCAACGGAGAAGAGAACCAGGCCTGGGTTGAGTCCTTGACTATCTAGCCTTTGATGAAGCAATTTCAATCTCTGTAAATTCCTAGCTTTAAATAATTCTAAGTTTAAATTTAGATTCACATTTAAATAAATCTAGATTTAAATATGTTGGAACTCTACCTGGGCTGAGATGCCACCAGAATTGGCAGTGGGAGAGCCAACCGGATCTTGTCAAGTTCGGGAAAGTGATGGTGTTGACCGAGACTCCGGTACTCATCAACAGCCCCCAGCGACACCCCTCGATCCCTTAGCAGTGAGCCAGGTAGGAGCCCAAGTTCTAGTTCCTGGCTTCAATGAGAGAGGACTCTGGTATAAGGCAAAGTTTTCAGATTGTCCAAGAAGGGCCTTTTAGTTAAAATGGATACTAGAAGGACAAAACTTATTTTCCTTGTTGTTGGTAGGCAAGAGAAAAGAGACGGGGGGTGGAGAGAAACAGCTTTGTGATAGACCCTTGGTAATCAATTCCGTATCTGTGATATAGTAAGAGCAGGGACACTGAGAAAGGGCGGGAAGAATCAGGCACGGGGGCTCCAAAAGGAGTAATAAATATGTGATACACTTCATACTTTTTGATCCAACGTGGACTTTTAAAACATAGGACAGTAACAGAGAGGAAGGGAAGTAGCCTCTGCCCTCACTTCAAGGTTCAGGAAGAATTGTCCACAAGGCTGTCTGGAGAGCAAACTGGGCCGAAGGGCGATTTTAAGCCTTTGGAATAGTGGCTTTGGGCCAGAGGGAGTATAGGGCTCTGCAGTGTTGACAGAGCCGGGCCTTTGGCCGCTTCAGCTGAAGTCCAGAATGTGGGTGAGAGGGGAGAAGTGGTGAAAGGCCTGGGAGAGGCCCTGGGGAAGAGCCCATTTTCCAGCAGTGTGTGAAGGCCACAGCTGTCTTCTCCCTCCCCAACCGCTCCACCACGGCAGAGCCCAGGGACCTCGTGCCCAAGTGGATCCTGAAGCTAAGCATGGCATTCACACACCTGTTGTTGAATGAATAAACTCAGGCAACAGCGTCCGGCTGTGAAAGTGCTAGCCTGCACAGCCATTAGGAACATCTTTGGTTCTAGAATCCCTCATGAATGCGGAGCTCGGAAGTGGGGGTATTTAGAAAGGAGAAAGATGCACAGGGAGGGAGGTACCAGGGCACCACTAAGGTTTTAATAAATTCTAGAAGAGGTGGCATCTCCCCCGCTCCCTACCACCCACCCTGACTTGCAGACACAAAAGTAGCAAGACGGTTACCACCACCTGGCACTGCAGATTCATGGTGGACTTCTCCAGGCAGAGGCCAGCCCCCTGCCAGGCCTGATGCGGAGGCCCCTCCCCTGCAGAGCAGTCCGAGTGAGACCCTCTAGAGGTCCTTCAACGCAAAGGCTCCCTGTCTCATCTCCCTTCGGCCCCTTGGCTTGGATCTCCCAGGGGAGAGCTCATCCGACCACCGGCGCGGACTGGTTATCTCTGGACCGCCTTACTTCTACATTCCCAGAACATATTCACAGATACATGAGTCAATTTTTGTCTAGAAATTTATTAGACATAATTTATCCATTACAGTAGACAATCTGGACAAAGTAAAAATAGCTAAACTTTTTATTTGCCCTGATTAGCAGCTTTCATTTCTCTTAAAATTCCCAAAATGTTCTTTTCTAAATCCCTTATTTTGATTGATGTCTTTAGAAATAGAGAGCCGAGGACCTGCGTCTACTTTTCAAGAATCTCAGTCTCATTTATGGGAAATTCATTTAGTGTACATTTCTTTTCTCATTTCCATTCAGGTTGAGATGGCTCTCCTGGCAGGGCTGCCACCAGCCTCCTACGTAATGGCATCCTATTTGTCTACCTCACTTCCATCGAGTTGGAAGATTGTAATCAGAGATAACCCCGACACCCGAGATGGGAAGTAGCAGCATGAGTAAATGGCCTCTTCACTAAACCCTACCGGCCCCCAACCACCCTACACATATGAAGTCTGACTTATAGAAAACTGAGACCCTCCTGCCTTCAGAGTATTCAAGAAATTTCCTACCTGCATCATTTTGATGAAAATTAATGTACAAGTGCCCAAACTGTTGCGTGGCTTTAATAAATAGTCTAGCTGGTAAATCTAGATATGGCTTTAATTTTCATAGAAAAGAATATAAACTGTTTATATAAAGAACAGTTCTAAAAAAGGCTTTTCCCACAGGATTCTGGAGTCTCACACTTCCACCCAATAAGGAAGGCAGTGAGATATTGTAGAAAGAATATGGGGACGTGGAAAGAATGTGGGAGTCAGAGGAATGAGGTTCTGGCCTCAGTTTTTTTTAACCTCAGTGTCCCCATGTGTCACAGGCTACCTGCAGGCACACACTGTAACCTTCTTCATTGTTTTTACCTCAAATCCTTCCTGTCTGCTGCTGATTTCTGCTTACTCATGGCACTACCTAAAGACACGATTTATACCATGACAGTGCATAACGTGTTTCTGATTCTACTTCTGAACAGAGGAAGGACAGAAGTGCAGTGAAGTGAAGGGCTAGCAATTTTAAAAGCTGTCAGCCCAGCCCAGCTACCCTCCACCCTGGCATTGGCATCTATGGAAGAAGGTAATTGATCAGGTGGATCGGCTGGTGGGTAACTGATCACAGGAATAAGGCACCTCTAGTAGATCTGAAGAGGGCTGTGCATCAGATCTACTGCCATCGTGCAAAAGCCATGAAGGCCCACATGCCCACAGGTTACTGTACCTTAGTGTTCATTTGTTAGGGCCTTTTTCAATTTTTTTCTTTAAGTTTTTATTCATTCAGCAAACACTAAGCTCCTACTATGTGCATAAGAGATGCTCAATAAATTTAAGGGGCAGGGAAAATACTCAGAATTGAGGAGTCACTCCAGCCCTCTCAAAGAACATCTCTAAATCTTGATGCTCTCCCCTTCTCCACTCCTGGCCCCGCCTCTGCTCACACCACAGGTCACTAAGTGCCCGCATGAATGAGTCCTTAAGCACAGTACAACACGGTCTGTGCCTAACACCAATGTCCGTTCTCTAAGAGGGTGTCTTTTAAAGCAGGTATGTGTCTTCAGCCTGAGAACCCCTCAGCGCGTCTTCAGCTTCATCTGAGGATACGCCACAATGATGATGCCTACTACAGAGGACACAAGACCTCCAAGTCCAATGATGCCAGGGTTGGACTTACAGATCCCCAACTGGTCCAAAGGGTTCAGGATATCACAGAAATTCTTCACCGTGTCCAGGAGCAAGGGAGGGTGATTCTTCAGAGATCGGAATAAGAGAAGGAGAAAGGATTGGAGCCATTCTGTTTCCTCATCGGCCACACTGTACCCAAGAGGATCCTGGGATGGTGATTTCTCCCTCTTTGCCCTGTCGTGTGCAACCTGTTCCATCTGCAAGGTGACTTCATAGAGATCCCTTACCAGGCTCAGCAGGACAGTATAGTAGTAATGGCGGGCAGCCCACATTCGCCATTTCTCTTTGTTAATGCCAGGGGCGAGCCCTACGCTTCTCACCCAGAGGATGGTGTCACAGATGGAATAAATCACACGGTTCAGGTTGGCTAATGTTAGGCATAAGCAGGGTACCAAGTCAGTGGCATGAATGCTCTGCTGAGTCGCCTGTACAGCATGTACCACATTGCCTAGTCTGAACCCTGCAAGAAGAACCCACAACAGTTATTTAATTAATATGTAATAAGAAGGCAGAATCCCTGTATCAGAGTGAAGGGACAGCACTGGTTTTTAACGACTGACTGTCATCCGTCTTTGCTCAAGAAAGGAGAAGGACTTTACACCCTGTTAAGGACCCCTAAAACGATCCGATCCCGGCAGGCACAAAAGACTGTGACCGTTTAAATTTATTGCCTCCCTTCCAGCAAGTATCTTAACATTGACTTACAACATCCTTCAGGCAAGGTCAGTGATGAGGGTGGGTTATTGCATTTGAGTATTACCAGCTACCCTTCTTCAGAAGGAAGGTACTATGATAACATCAACTCCAGATGCAACATTCTTTTGGTGAGTCTGATGTCTTGTTTTTTATTTACTTCCAGACAAAAGATTGTTGTTGTTTTTTAAAGAATCACCATTATCACCTTGCCATTTCTTTAACTCTGGCTCCCTATTGTCAAGAAAACAAAGTAGAGATGGTAGGATTGGTGGATAGGACAACTAATGATATTGCCATATGTGACTCCTAGTTGAGTTCGATCAACCACTGCAAGGCATGTCCTTAAAACTGAGCATATCATCAGTCAGGGATGCATCAGTCCACAAGCATTTACTGAACACTATTCAGAATGTGTTGGAGTCCTAAACATTATGGAGGCTACAGAAGAAGTAACTTTTCTTAAAGGATTCTCTTAGATTCAGCAAATGCTCAGAAGCAGCTACCCTGGAAATTTATAATCCCAGAAGAATGTCTGGTATTATTTTAGGAAAATAACACAGAACAGACTATGCAATGAATAGCCCTGAATTCCAGTCTCGCACTCACTGGCTGAGTGACCTTGGGTAAATCCTTCCTGGACTTCAGAGACCTGTGACCTCTACTAGACCTTTGAGCTTCAACATTCTAAAGAATCTGAGAATTTCTACTCTTAGCTTTCAAAGCTCACCCCACCCTTCCCATCCTCTGCTTGACACCTTAAGTTTCCTCTCTGTCCAAATGGTTTCCTCTTGATCCTCTAGCACAATGGTTTGCTCATAACAGTTCTGAGGCTTCACTAGAGGAAACCACCTTTCAGGAATGCTCGTTCCTTCTCTCTCTAACCACACCTCGAGTTCCATCTACTCCAAAACACCTTTCTTTTCCTCTACCCCGGCTAATAAATTTGGCACTAAATGTTGTATCATTATTTATACCATGTGATCTTAGTTCTCCCATAAAGCTCAGGACTACACCTACATGAAGCAGGTGTTCAAAAATAATTGACAACATCTGATTTCTATATTCCATTCTAGCTTCTCCTTACTTACTTAGTAAGATCTAGTTCTTATCAAATAACTAGGAGTTAGGCATCCAGTTGTTATTGAAAGTAACGGATCTCCCAGTATGCCTCATTACAGTGAATTAAATGAGGCCAAACACTGACCTCACTTTTTGCCTTAAACAGGAAACCACCCCACAAATGGTCTAAGAAAATGTATCCATCCATTTCCTGTGACAGTCCAACAGAAGTAGGGGAAAACAGGCAGGATATAGCTACTCTGTTCTCCCAGAGATTATAAAGCACTCCCAGGAGCCAGAAATCATGTCCGGGACTGAGAAAACATTTTGTGATTCTGAGAAGTAAAGGTGAACTAACACACTGTATGTGCCACTGATTATGATTAAGCAAAAAGATATGGTACAGCACCAACTGTGAACGTGGGAAGGTGTTTGCAGATGGTCTGCAGCCAAACATTCAACCTTTTTGGCCTGTCATCCGACGAGGGCAGCCTTACTAGTCGACTTCATCAATAAAACTGATTGGCTAGAAACTGATGATCTGGAAATTATTTTGTGAATTGCAGGGTCTGAGGATTCTAAACCAGGAACCGCTGTCCCTCAAGAGACAGGGTACTTACATTTACGGCCAGTGCTCACACTAGACTCCAGTTTCTTGAGCTTCATTACCACCTTCTCTTTGCCAGCTTTAGGCTCTAATAAATATCTAAGCAACATGCATGTGTACTGAGTGGCTCTGAAATGGAAAAAAAAAATGAGGAGAATGATTTACAAACCAAATAAAACTTGATTCAAGAAATAAGGGAAGGCGAAACTTATCTTGCTAAAGGCAAAGTTTCCAAGACAATTCTCATGTAAGCAGCCCTTACAAGAGCAAAATTCTGCAACAGTCCCTCTACAAGGCCAAAGGGCAGGGCATGGGATGAAAATGCAACACAAAGGTAATGAAAGAGAATTCTGCAATAATCCAGTGAATAGCCCCCCTCAAAAGGTCTTTTGCTGGCATAGCGAAATAGATGTAGTCAAAGTGGTAAACTGCACAAAAATCTCTGTATTCTTTATTTTCTACAGTGAAAAGCTTTTCAGATTTCTAAAATGAACTTTTTTTTACAATGTAGTTAACCAACTAATTATGTGGCAGGACATACACTCAAACCAGAACCAAACAAAAGTCCACAGTTTGAACATTGCTTAATATTTTATAACAGGACTAACTACACACCAACATATAAATAGATATAGATATGTTTTTATATTTGGCTTTCAAAACTAATTAGTACTTTATTTTAAAATAGACTCGTGTTTAATAATACTAAATGTTCAGTAGTAGTTACTGTTACTACAAATAACAATGCCTTGCTAACAGAAATATAACGAATGAGAAATTTTGTATCACATAATCAACATCTAGACGCATTTGGCAGTCTACTTAATAAAGTAGGTGCCTGTTTCTTACTGTCTTATAACTGCATTTGAATGCCTTTATGCTATAAATATTCTCAATAAAAATGTGGCATATTTTCTGAAATGTGGCACTTGTTATTGGGGATGAAGTAAAGAGAAATAATCTGTCTTTTTCTCTTTTAAAGGAGCTTCCTGGCAGAGGGGTCAAGCTGACCACATCAATGAATTCCTCTTTCTCAGATTTGATTTAATAATAGGAATGCTTCAAAAACAAGGCATCGTTTTATGAGTGCCGGTTTGTTCTCAGAAGCTATAGGTCACCAAGGAGCCTGGAAATGAATACTAGAGATCTCAGATCTTGCTGAACAAGTACATCCTAAACAACTATTTTATTAACCACCCCTGTTGATAAACCTTGCAGCGTAACATTGTGAGTGCGTTGGAACTGTAGGCTTCTATTATAATGAAGCGTGTATATAATGGAACCATTATTTTAAATCTATCAAATTAATCAGAAAGATAGCATGGCTTGGTAGTAAAAAGGTGGAAGCTGAAGTCAACTGTATTTAAATCTCAGCTCTGCCACTTGGTATGTACCAACCTTCTATTTATTTCCCCATCTCGGAAATGGGAACGATTTACAGCATCTTCCTCACAGGGTTGTGAGAGGGTTAAGTGAGTTAAGAGGTGTAATTTCACAGGGCCAAAGGGCAGAACATGTGATGGAAACACAGCCCAAAGGTAATGGGAACAATATCGGGCATAAAGTGGCTTCCAAAAGTCTCCTGACCGGGGCTATTCTTACTGAACTGTTTGTATTAGCACTGGCACACCCAGAAGAGGCGGAAAAGCTCTTAAATGAAATTGCAATTGGAACTATGCTTTTTATTATTGAGCAAGACTCAGCCAAACTTCTCAAAGAGACATCGTGAGCGAATTAACATTAACGCCACAAGCCCCGTGTGATACTTTCAGTAGCACCGCGCGTACCTTAGAAGTGCGGGCAGTTCTTTCTGAGGCTCTCCACACTGTATTTCGTTTCACAGTTCACAAAACTATTTCACAGGCAGTCTCTCAATGAGGCAGACTGGACAATAATGGCAGAGAAAGGGGATAAATAAGAGTTCCGTCTCTCCATAAGCACATCATGGGGTACCTGAAGCCACAACCACGTGGGTGGCTTCCCTGGCCACAAACGCCAACCCGAAGTCTCTCTTTAAAAAGCTCCCACGAGAGAATGCTGAGCAGAGGGAAGCCCGTCTTCTCCGGGGAGGGGGGTTCGTCGAAGGGCTCGGCACGGCCGGCGGCCCCAGGAGGCTGCGGGCCCGGCCGCACGCAGGGCGCCGAGTCCGGCCCCGAGCGCCCGGCTCCCTCCCGGGGCCGCGGCGTCCGGCCCGCTTTCGTCCGCGGGCCTGCCACCTCCTTCCAGGGCTGCCGAAGGCAGGGGCCGAGGTGGAGGCGGCCGGCAGCTCACTCACCTGAAGAGGCGGTCCCGGCCCTGCGTCTGGTTGGCGAACCGGGTGAAAACGTCCATGGCGCCCAGCCCAGGCCCACACGTCGCCCCGGCCTCGTCGCGAGCCGTCGAGTGCTACCCGGTTCCCGGGGGAGCGCGCGCCTCCGGCCGCCGCAGGGGCTGAGCCTCTTCGCCTCGAGGGGGCGGGCGCACCTTCCGAGAGGCCTCAGCCGGCTTCCGGTCTGGGCCGGAAGTGGTGGTTACTAAGGCGACGTCAAGCGGCAGGCCCAGGTAGGAGCAACCTTGGCTTCCGCCCTCTGGTGCAGCGCCTGCCCACGAGTCCCCAGCCGCCCTTCAACATCCAGGACCTTCTAGTGGGAGCCTCTGAAGGGTCCTGCCTCCCCAGCCTCAGGTATTCCCGGGACTTCCTCCAGGAAGATCCTGGGTACCTGTGAACCCCAGGTGGAATCCTGAATGGACAGTCCCCTGAGCTATTGCTTGGGGCCTTCGTCTCTAATTTCCCAGCCCTGTGCCTCTGTTTCCCTTGAACAATACCAGCCCCGGGTCTGGGTAAGGAAACGGTTAGAGCAGAGATGGTTAAGCCAGTTCGTGGAGTGTATTTCTAGAATGAGAGCCGGGTAAAGTGAGAATTTTCTCTTAGGATTATTGAACACCAAAAGGAGATTGCTACTGGAGGAAATCCTAAAAGGGTTAAATGAACAAAGTGGGGTTACAAATAGATAATGATGCGACTGCAACACTGAACATTCCTTCTGTGGGGATTGAAGACATAGAACTCCACCCATCCCTTAGCAGTGATTTGATAAATGTACCCCTTATAATAAAAAAATTAGGTCACCTATGTTTGCCATCTGTATTGCCTTCATCAGGCCTGCCCCTAACATTTGCAAGCCCTGGGGAAGGGGTACAAATAGAAACATTCCATATGTTAAAATATTTCAAACTTTTAAATCAAGGTAGCAAATTGTTAAATAAGTTATATTTTGTTCTCCTACCTTGACAAATATACTTTCATAATGATGTAGAAAGCCCATTTCATATTAAGAATTCTTGGGTTCTTTGGAATACCTGGAAACACAGCTGGAATGTGATACTGTGGGAAGAACTGGTCCCCAGTCCTCTCCTACCCACCTACTCTTCCCGTTTCTGGCTTCCATCTGCATCAATAAGAGGGGCCTTGCATACAGAGTGTAGATGCTCCAAGCCACATACACTTCTGCCCAAACCCTTGGTTCCCTCTTTTTTTCATTTTGTTCCTACTGTTGTGGCTTTAAATTCATTAATCTTTTCTTCTACCCATCTAGTTTGTTTCTCTATGAAATCTTGTTATTAATCTAATCCAGTGTAGTTTACATCTCAGACTTTGTGATTTTCATCTCTAAAGGTTTAGTTTGGATTTTTAAAAAAATATCTCCCACATCTGTGCTTAACATGATCAGCATTTCATTTTGGTTTTTGAACATGTGGCATATACTTAAAACTGTTTTGTCTGCTAATTCTAATATCTTGTGCTGATTATCAGTCAGCTTTGATTGACTGATTTTTCTCTTTATTATGGCTTATAATTTTTTGCTTCTCTGCGTGTCAGATAATTTTTTTTTATTGAAGCCCAGACATTGTGAATTTTACTTCATTGGATGCTAGATATTTTTGTATTCCTATAAATATTGAGCTTTGTTCTGTCATGAAGTTAAATTACTTAGTAATAGTTTTATCTTCTAACTTCTAAGATTTGATGGGCAGTACCACAGCAGCATTTATTCTATGGCCAATTTTTCCCATTCCTTGGCAAAACTCTTCTGAGTACTTTACCTGAAGCATGTGAATTATGAGGTTTCCCAATCTCACTGTTGGAAACAGGCATCATTCCTGACCCTTTGTGAGCTCAGGCTACTTTTCCCACTAATTATTCAGGTGATTCTTTCCTTTCAGATTTAGACTCAACTGATCTTGTCTACTCATGCGCTAGAAACCGCATAAATGTGGTCGGCGGGTGAGAAAAGATGGCAGCATGGCCTTTATAAGACTTCTGTGGCCGCAGGTGCTCTGACAGTGCAAGACTCTACTCCGCTACATATTAAGCATCTTAAAATGGACCCTGTGTTCCATATTAAATTCCTTTTTTGACTGTAATATTTGAAAGCATTTAAATAATTTGGACAGTTTTGTTACAAAGTACAGATTACTTGTTCTTATAGACTTAAACTTTACTCACACAGAGTGGAGCTGCTAAGTTGTAAATATTATTTTGATTATGTGGGTTGTTTTGTTAGTTTTTTATTCCATTTTTTTTCAAGTCTTAAACACTTCTGGAGGCCCTTGGAAAATCTCATAGCTCCTGGGCACTGTTCCCACAGAACTCCTGGGTGGCATCACTGGGAAGAAAGAAAAATAAAAGAATTAGACAGCAAACATTAGAAGTGCTTGAACTGCATCTGATAGGAGGGGGGAAAGGAAGGGGAGAAGCCATGGCCCACTCCCCTTGTGGCTGAAGCACAGCCATTTGCAGAGATGGAAGAGCAGCCTAAGTTGTAGGAGAGAGGGTAAGTTCTCTATGGGACAGAAAGACAGCCACTCTCTTATCAGGAAGTGAGGAAAGGCAATAAGGATGTCAAATTCTTCTTCCATCATAGAATACGTCATCTTAGGCTGGCCCGGAAGATGTCAATATCTGTCTCTGCTGATATCCTGACTAATACGAAGAGCATTATCTGAGTTATGTGGCTACAGTCCTGTGACTAAGTAAGGAAAGTGCCAGCCACTAGAACAGTGCTCAGAGGATGATATGCTAGAGAGGTTTTCAGGTAACTTCCCTGTTTTCTCAAAGTATCTTTGCCTACTTCCTTTATCTGCTTTCAGAGTTTCATTGAAGTTCACAGGTTTACCTTCTGCGATGCCATCCCCCAAAGGAAGTCGAGCCCAGAAGATGAGGCTGCCCATTCTCACACAAAAGGGGGCCCTGGAGGTGCCATCCCCAACGGAGAAGGACTGGTCTAAGGACGATGAAAAGGATTATGTCTTCAAGGATCCAGATCAGGAGGTGGATTCCTTGCCTCAGCCTTATCGAATGATCAACAAGCTGGTGAACCTTCTGTTTGACAAGTCGTGGGAAATTATCGAGGAGAGGGACACCTCGAGGGAAGCTGAGCTCCGCCGGGTCCAGCCCACCATGTACCCTCCAGTTATAGAAAGCAAGGTATGGAGCGGCTGACCAGTAGTCCCTGATTCTCAGATGAGGGTTAATAAATGAAAACACTTGATCCAAGAAAAGAATTCCTACTAGGAACCTTCATTCAATAAAACAGGTGCATTTTCGAAAGATAATAGACATGCTGATGTTAATTATAGTGGATCTAGTAACTGCCTGGGGAAATGGTATTGAAGATGATGCAGCTGTCTTTTATATCCTGTTGTTATTTTAAAAATATTTCAGAACGTATTAACCCCTGTCTTGCTTGAAGGTTGAGAATCTGCTGTTGCCTCAACTATAGCTCTTTCCACAGTGTTCTAATGACCGATATGCAGAGAATGGGGCCATTGTTCACCCATCACAGGGCCTGTGGTCCCACTTGGTGCTGTGAATGTGTACTTATTTTCAACTTCTTTTCTTTCTCTGGCCCCTAGAAAGGGAATGCTGTGACTTTCTGGCTGTTTGGGGAATGCTGTGATTGCAGATATCATGTCTAAGAAGCTCCCACATCCCTCTCTGACAAGTTAGCTCATAGTATTTGCAGATGGTGACTGCTGAAAATCATTCCTCTTTTCTTTGTTTTTGTTTTCCCAGCTCAACAAAATGCCAAATTGTATGGCTATTTCCCAAGACTATGTATTTATTGGAGAAGCCAAAGGATTCTCCATCTATAATCTCTACGATGCCAAACGGATATATGTTTGGGAGAAACTTAAGGTTGATGTCACTTCCATCTGTGCCACGGATTTGGAGAATGAAATACTTATCACTACTGTGGATGAAATGGGTACTTGTTCTTCATCTTCCCTTTTAGCCTAATTTACTGGTCCCTGTAGACTGTTGTTCAATTTAATCTCCTTTCCAGGTATGGGCAGGGCAGACACAGAGTTCTCCCTGGGCACATAGTATTAACTGACGTCTACAGAACAGTAAGTGTGCCAGGCACTTTTCTAGCACTGAGTATATATTGGCCCATGGAGGTAAGGACAGTTTATTCTCCCTTCTTTTCAGAAGAGGCAACTGAGGCATGGAGGTTAAGTAACTTACTGGAGGTAGTGTGAAAAATATATGGCAGAGGCAGGGTTCGAACCAAGCACAGCTCCGGAGCCCACAGCCTTCTGGCACTCAGCAATCCTGCTGCTCATATAAGCCACGGCTGGCTTCTGTCCCCCAACCTGAGGATGGAGAACTGTAGGCAGTGCCCTGCAGCACAGGGACCTGACCAGGTGGGCACTTCAGGAAGAACACCCTGGGAGGAGTTTGTAAAAGTCAAAACCAGAGGCAGAAAGACCAGAACGAACTATTGCATTCGTTGAGGAGAGAGGTTCTGAAGGTCGGAACCAAGGCAGAGGCTGTTCAAATGACAAGAAAAATTGTTCTGCGGTTATGTGAAATGTTAATATTAGCACTAGGGAGGTGAGGTGAGGGATGTAAAGGAATTCTCTGTGCTATTTTTACAACTTTTCTATAAATCTAAAATTAGTTAAAAATCAAAAGCTGGAGAAATGGAAAGGAAAATATAATGGGAAAACTTGGTGAGTGATGGGATTTGTATATGGGGTGGGGAGTAGGGAGTTAAGTGAAGGGGAAATGAAAAAAAGTCTCCTTTCTTCCTTAGGTGGGTGGTGATACCATTCCTTGACAGAAGTTATGGAATTAGGTTTCAGGGGCGTGTGAGCTGAAGAATTCTGTTTGCACACACACAGCTTTGAGGCACCTGGAATGGGGATGTTGATACTCAGGGGGAGTTTGGTCTGAAGATAGGATTGCACCTGTCACCCTGCGTTCTGCCTAGTTGGTTTTGTGTTGGTGTGACCCTCAGTGCGATGGGTTAGGGGGCTGAGCTTCGGCTCACCCTCGCACATCCCTGGACTGTTTAGCGGGTGGAGATAAACTTTCACCCCAGTGACTTGTGCTGGGACGTGTTCTGAGTGTCTGGGAGGCACCCAGAGAAAGAGGTGAGAAGTCATGATGGATGATGATCATGTGCCGGAGCCTCAGGGTGAGTGGGAATTAGAATCACAGAATCACCAATTCAACAAAAGTAGCTGCAAGAGGAGCTTGGTGGGGGTTGAAAGACGAGGCAGAGAGAAGGTGAGACATGGTCCTGCCCCTCAAGGAATCTAGGAACTCGCTGAGAGGAAGATACGCTCAGAGGAAACAGCAGGCTAACCGTGTAAGGCAGGACCCGGGGATGTGCCGACGCAGGTGGGTGGCAGTCAGGGAGTGGGGTGGGGTGGCCACAGTGCCTACAGGGGCTTCCAGGAGAAGGGGATGGGGCCAGGCAGGTGGACAGGGCCCAGCCAGGAGAACAGATTGAACAGTTCCCGTGCGCTGGGGAGGAAGGCAGGGAGTCCAGCATGAGCATGGCAGGGCGGGGCCGGGCAGGAGGCCTGGGAATGCGTGCGCTGTGATGGTAATTCCAGAACAGCTGAAATAAAATCACGGTTCTTCTTTGGCTTGCTTGTCTGTCTTACCCGCTCACTTATTTTTTCTGTTGCAGGTATTGTTAGACTGTTTTATTTTTCTAAAGATGGTCTTTTCCTGATCAGAGCTATCAATGAAGTGGTAAGTTCCTGTTCCTTCACCTATAGTTGGGCCAAAAGCTGCAAGAAATTAAGTTTACTTTCAATATGGGTGTGATGATAGCTGTCCTAAAGTGAAAAGAAATAGACTCCCTGTTCAGAAAGCCTCATTAAAAATATCCCTTATATCAGATGGTACATGGTTAATGCCTGGATTTATTTACCCTGTTGCTGTGAGAAGAAAATTCCTAAGGAACTCCATTCCCAGTGGAACACCAGCCCAACACATAACAGCTGCTTACAAGACCCCGAGTTCTGCAGGCTGCCTCACATCCTGTTCCCTTTCCCAAGCTGCTTTCTCTCCTTGCAGTGCTTTCATTGCTTTTCTCCCTACTATGTGCACCTCTTTAATTTTCCTCAAGAGCAGCTCAAACATATCTGAGCTAGTTTCCCTCACACACTCTGAGCTCCCCCTTCTCTGGGTCACCACTGTATAGAACAGAATTTCTATAGCAGTGTTTCTTCATCCTCCATACTTATTTGTGTGTATGGCTGTGTCTTCCCCTGGATGTAAGTTCCCTGGGGGCAGTGGACATCCCATTCACCGTGTGCCCCTGTCCCTAGCACATTGGCTGTATGCTGTAGGCTCTCAGAAAGTGATTTTTTGAAAGCAACCTAAATGTCCATTGATAGACTCACAGACCCAGAGAACAGACTGGTGGTTACCATAGGGAAGGGAGAGGGCCAAAAACTGGAAGCCACCAAACGTCCCCCAAGAAGTGAATGGGTCAGCACGTTGTGGTATGTACACACGGTGGAATACTGCTCGGTGGTAAAAAGGAATGAACTGTTGATGCATGTAACAACATGGGTAACTCTCAAAATACGCTGAGTGAAGAAATCAGACAAAAGATAACACATTCCGTATGATTCTATTCATATACAATCCTAGGAAATGCAAATGAACTAGTAACAGAAAACATCAGTTTTTGTCTAGGGTGGAATGGGAGAAAGGGGGAGGCAAGGATTACCAAGGGGCAGGAGAGAGCTTTTGGGGGTGATGGATATGTCCACTGTCCTAATTGTGATGGTTTCAAGGGATACACATAAACCAAAGCTTATCAAACTATACACTTTAAACATGTGTGGCTTATTATATGTTATTACATTCCTAGTAAAAATCAGGGGTAATAATAAGGCTGTTAGAAAAATGAGAACTTCTGCTCATCAAAATGTTACTAGAGTTTGATCAGTATTGGGAGCTGAGAGTGAACCCCAAGAGCCTTGAGCAGCCACACCACTACCTGCCAAGCAGCCCATTACATGAAATCCTGCAATTAGAAGTGAACAAAAGATTGGAGCTGGAAACCATGAGTGATTATTTTTGGCCGTTGACCAGCTAACTAGAACTACTGGCAGTATCTGTGCAGTGTTGGGTTTTTATTTTTACCTAAAAGGCATCTCTTTTTGGTAATACCAAGTGGTTTTACAGGCTTTCTAAAAAGCCTGGTTTTTCTCAATATACCTTTAAAATTATTTCATATCTGGCAAAGTAGAGATTCTTAAGAACCTCATTTTTAATTTGTAGTAAAACATTACAACTCCATTTTTTCAAAAATTAAATGCAAATGTCTGTTAATAAAGGTCTTAATAGTAATAGTTATTATTATTGTAAAGATACCATTAAGAAAGTGAAAAAGCAAGCCACAGACTGGGAGAACATACCTGCAATGTATATATGTATCTCCTAACATATCCAGAAAATTTTTAAAAAACTCCAAATCAGTAATAAAAAGACACCCCAGGAAACAATAGGCAGAAGACTTGAACTAACATTTTACAGATGAAGATACACAAATATCTAGTTTTTTAAGGGGCCTAAAGTTGTTAGTTAACAGAAAAATACAAATTAAAATCACACTGAGGTACTACTACATACCTATTATAATGCTTAAAATTAAAAAGAATGAGCATGCCAAATACTGATGAAGATATGGAGCAACAAGAACTTTCAGACATTGCTAATAGGAGTATAAAATGGTACGGCCACTTTGAAAAACAGTATGGTAGTTGTTTCTTATAAAGCTAAGCTTCTGACCCATTGGTCCCATTCCTAGGTATTTACTGAAGATAAACAAAAATATATATCCACAAAAAATTTGTACAAGAATGTCCAAAGAAGTTTTATTTCTGATATAAAAAAATGGAAATGATCAGAGAATGAATTAAAGTCAGTGGTATATTAATTCAATGGAATACTATCCAGCAATAAAACAACGAACTATTGATGCTCTCAACACAGTGAATAAAATTAAAAAAAACTTTTAAGTTGAGTGCAAGAAGCCAGGATGTATGAAGAATACATTCTGTGTAATTCCAGAACTGATCTATGTTGGTAAGGAAGTTCAGAACGTTGGTTTCCTATAGGGGCGTATTGATGGAGACAGGAGACCAGCAAACCATCTCTAGAGGGGGGATGGTAATGCTCTACACCTTGACTTTGCATTAGTTACACAGATATATACATTTGCTAGACCTCACCAAGATGTACATTTAATATTTCTGCCTTTAACTGTATGTAAATTGTATATACACAAAATCTGAAGAAAGAAATATTCAGTTTTTTATGAGACCTCATTTTATGAGACCAGCACAACTCCGAAACCCAAATTGACAGGGACCTGATAAAGAAAGTGGTGTTGGTGGGTTAGAATACACCAAAAACATTAAAAACAAAAACATTAATTCATAATACATATTTTTAAAGACTTCATTGTTACCTTTGGAAGTTGCTAGGGTACAAACCCAGTATTCTGAAAACTGGCAAGGGAGAGAATATAGTGTTTTTCCTGACTTTTCCATATAGGCTGTGTATCAGGGTAAGCAAATAGTTGATGATGGAAAGATCTTTATAGAAGAATTGTAACAAATACAGAAGGGATGATAGAATTGGGCTATGTCAAATTTTGTAGGCATTTTACAGAGTAACAGTCCAGGCAATGACCATCAATGGCTGTAGGGAACATTATGGCTGCTGAGTCAGGATGACAACACGTGTTTTCAATGATCAACCTTTACGTTCCTACAGTAGAGAAGAACCAGCTACTACAAGCCTCCTGACGTGAGACAGGAGGGAGACACCACATGCCCGCGAAGTACTTTTGCCAAAACAGTTGAACCTAAGTCTAATCAAACCTCTAGATCTGATTAGCAGTTTATAGGAAATGCAGGGGACCCTGGGTACATGTTGAAAACTCCACAGGGATAAAATCAGTCCAATACAAAATATGAAAAATTCCATAGGACAAATGACCTGGTTTCTTCAACAAGTAAATGGTAAAAAGAAAAACAAATTGGGGAACAGTTTCAAGTTAAAAGAGACTTAAGTGATACATTAACTCAATACATGGGCTTTATTTGAATCCCAGTTTGAACAAACCAGTTGTGAAAAGATAAGAGATTTATGAGACAATGGAGGAAATTTTGAAAACAGACTGGATGTGAGGTGGTACTAAGGAATTATTATTAATCTTTTAGGCTTAATTAAATAAAATACTGATTTAATGAGGTTGAAAGGTAATATATGTATTTATACTTGTTGAAGTTGAGCAATAGATACATGGGGGTTCATTATACCATTTTCTCTATGTATGTTTGAAATTTCCATAACCACAAATTGATATTAAAATTGGTAAATAGAAATGTTTAAAACTAGTTCTCCTTAAGTAAGTTAGGGGATTTACCAGCCTAACTAGTCTATCCACTTTACCTTTGCTAGTTTTAAAGCTCCTTAAAGGTACAGCACAACCATACACATTGAGACTCCTTTACCAGGCCTGAAATTTGAGTAGGTTTCATACTAGGGTTAAAATCAGTCTCTACTTTCTGTGGGCTGAATGTATCCCCCCAAACTCATGTTGAAACCCTAATCCACACTGTGACGGTCTTAGGAGGGGGGACCTTTGGGAGGTGACTAGGTCTTGAAGGCAGAGCCCTCCTGAATGGGATCAGTGCCCTTAGAGATAGGAGGCCCCGGAGGGCTCTCTCAGCCCTGCCACCAGGTGAGCGCCCAGAAGACGGTGGCAGGTCTGTGAACCAGGGAGCCAGCCCTCACCAGACACTCTATCTGCCAGATTTTTTAAATCCTTGGAAATCTTGGATTTCCAGCCTCTAACTGTGCCAAATAACTGTTTATTGTTAATAAGCCACCCCGTCTGTGGCATTTTGTTATAGCATTGCAGACAAACTAAGACACTCCTGCAGTCTAGATACTTTCTTCAAGCAACTGACCTGAGTTTTCAGTGTCGTATGGAACTTATTTCAGCTCATTTTGAATAACTGAGTGCTGGCATAGGTCTGTTGGGTTTTTGTACCTGACCAGGAGATCAGATAGCATGAAATCACCACAAATCATCAGGACTATTTAAGAAATCAGGAAATAAACCTAAAATCCTTTAGACAGAACATCGAGTTCTATTTCTTTACATACAATCTTTTCCAATTCCTGTACAGAAATGGGAAGTATGAAGCAGTTTGAGACATCTTTTCACGTCTCAAGCCTTAAAAGGGATGGGTGTTCCCTGGGGTGAACCCCGCAGGCGCTGAGACCCGTTCTGGGCAGCGAGCAGGCTGAGCTTACTCTATCAGTATCTCTGCTTTTCAGGATGACTCCAGCAAGCAAACCACCTGTCTGAAGATGGGGATCTCTCAAGGAGGGGACTTTGCAGCCTTCCTCCTGCAAGGCAAGATTGACCTAAGGCTGTTAAGAAGGTTCAGATTTGCACCAGGATTGCATGTAGTCATCTTGTCTCATTAGTCTGCTCCTATATGTAACAATTTCTTGGTCTTTCTTGTTGTTTGTTACCTTGACACTTATGAGAAGCAGGCTGATAGTTTGTACAATGTCCCTCAATTTTAGTTGGTCTGTTTTTCTCATGATTCAACTGGGGTTAAGGATTTTGGGGGACAATACCACAGAGGTGAAGTGATCTTGTCACTGCATCATATCAGGAGGGATGTGATAACAACATAACTCACTACTGCTGTGGGTAACCTTGATCTCTTAGTTAATGTGGTGTCTGCTAGGTTCCTCCACTGTTCAGCTATGTTTTTCCCTTTCCATACTCTGTTAGAAGTAAGTCACTAAGTCCAGAACACACTGAAGGGGAGAGGACTTAAGCACCACTTCCTGGAGGTGGGAGGGTTAAAGAATTTTTGGAAAACTGTTGAAACCACCATAGTAATTGGTAGACATTTGGGGGAGGTATTTTAAGACTATGCAAATATCCTGTTTCTCCTTAAAGTTTTGCCTACTAATTTTAGCATTCAACATTGAATCTTATGTGCTGCAATTATTACTGTGATGATAGACCATATTTTACTCAAATGATTATTAGCTTGATTTTTAAATTCTAAAGTATTTAGACATATGGCATATGGGCCTCTATTTACACTCTTGCCCCAGGCCCTTCCAGCGTTGAGTGTTTGAGGAAGATCTATGTTTTGTAATTCTTTATGCATCAAAGGACACTTACATGGTCTGTACTAGTATCCTGGGGCTGATGTAACAAAGCATCACAGACTGAGTGGCTTTTAACAAAGATAGTTATTTCCTCACAGTACTGGAGGCCGATCTCTGCAATCAAAGTGTCCAGATGACAACTCTCTTAAGGGAACATTTAGTCAGAATCCCCTACCGTGGGAAAGCAACCTTTCCTAGGTTGGCAGGTATCTGGTGTAGAAGCTAAGCATGTTTCTATGACAACGGTACTGTCCCATAACCACCCCCTGGGCTGCCACCTCCTCCAACGGTGGGTTCCCTTGAGAACCCTCTCACGGCAGCTCTCCAGATTCTGAGACTTTCTCAGCCATGCCGCTCCCGGTTATTGGTTCTTCATCTGCCACCTTCCTCCCCAGACAGGAAGAGCTGTAAGACAAACTGTCAGTGGAATTTACCACTTGGAACCTAGAAAACTTGGGGACCAGGCAAGGCAGAGAGTTTGGTTGGAAGCTGGTACATCAGTGCGGTGAGCATGAGAGAAGCTTTAGATGGGGAGGCTTGCGGGGAGGTGCCAGGCGGCTCTCCACAGGATTGAGGGCGTGAATATTCCTGGCAGAACTCGGCTCCTTCAGCTGGTCAAAGCTGCTGTTCCGAGGGTGCCTGGCGGTCTCCGTGCCAGCGGTTCTGAGAAGACAGGCCATTTCTCAGAGGACACTGGTCGCCTGCTTGCAGTTGCTCAATGGTCCCTTGGTTTCCCAATGCAGGAGCTGGGGAAATCTGGCTGGATGTGTATAAATTGCCCAAGGAGTCTTGGCTCAAGGAGGTGGAGCACCCCCAAACGGGTACAAATCCAAAGAAAAAAGTCGGACAGACGCACCCGGTAAGAAACAGCTCAGTTTTTAGCTGGTACATTTCTCCCCCGCCTTGACCCACATCTAACCTAAGTCCTCTTTGGACTTTCAAGACAAATGAGGCCTTCTGGAGGCTGTGGAGAGGACAACGGGCCCAAGGGCCCTTGTCTCCCAAACTGAGTTGCTTTGGTTAAGCTATTAAAAAGCGGACATGTCTTCAGTAGTGGGAGTTTCAGTATCTCTCGGAGCGGCCGCTCCACCAAGACCACCCCCAGGCATTTCTCTGGGAATCCTGACTCCTGCCTAGTAGGTAATCTTTTTTCCCTCCTTTGCTGAAATAATCCTTTCATGCATGCATTCCACCAAATTTCCCAGATTATGGTATAAACAGGTTGTTCTCAATATACAGGAATACATATATTCTTTGTATTATTCTTAGAAGGTAGGAACTCTACCATTTCAGTTTAATTATATAAGGTCCCTGGGCCTTGTGCTGTATCTTTAAAATATAGTTCCTCAGCAGATATTATTTTAAGACTTAATTTGCTCATCTGCCCAATGTACAGGTGTTGTTTCTTAACCAATAACAATATTAATTGAGCATATATTTAAAACATACTGTATCATGTTTTACATAATTAGGTGCTAAAGGGTTAGCAAAATTATTAAGATAGGAGACCAGGATTGAGTCTCACAATCATTGCTGAGCTTTGAGAAGATGTCTTTTTCCCCAGTTTTCATGTCTTCATTGTGGGGTGTAGGCCCTGTATCTCTGGGAGAGTTTGCAGGCCAGAGATCTGCCTCCTCTAAACTCACAGAATTTATTCTTTGTACCTCTTTTCTGACACTTCCTGCATACTGCCTTTATTTTTTTATTTTCCTTTTATGCATGGAAGTCCTTTTTTCTCAACTAGGTGACACATTTTTGGATTGTCAAAATGTACCTTTTACTTTTCATCAGCCAACCCCTTGGTATCATACTTAGTGCCTGGCAGATACATTTTTTGAGGAATTTATTTATTATCCAACTGGCAAAAGCACCTTGGAATGAGAGAGGTTTCTCACCATAATTCACTCAGTTCCTATACCCTGAGTTGTAAGCAACTAATGTCAGCTACAATGGTAATTCTTGTGCTGTGAGTCAGAAATAAATTGTCAGCATCATCCATATATTTTTCCAATCGGAAACATTCACTTCAGCTTAGGTTTTTGTAACGGTCTCCTAACTGATGTCCTTACCTCTGCTCATTCATATTTCTACTTGTATCGCTAACTATTCCATTTCCCCCACTACCTTTGAAGGTGCTGAATAGGGACCATGTGTTAAAATCCTGCGAGCCCGAGGACCCCATAGCCACTGGCCCTCTGTGCCCACTGAATGAGCTCACTCCCCACAACAGCAGCCAGAGGACTCAAGTGGGGAAGGGGAATATATATGAAGCCTGTTGTGAATTAATTTCTCGTTTTTTCTCCTCAGAACACTCTTGATCTCACGGTTTCAGAAAATTTAGAAATGGTAAGAAACTTTAAAGAAAATCTTCAGAGAAACTAAAGTTGCAGGTTAGAGATTTTTATTTTGACTTGAAATTCACCTCAAGTATCAAATATACTAGTAAAGTATATAGAAAAAGCACACTATTTTCATATTCTCTGTGACTTAATCTTATGTTTCATGTCCACTGAAGATCTTGAGGATAAATGACCCACTCATTTGTCCAGAGGTGGGTTTCCCTGAAGGTGAAGGAGGTTAAGTCTCAGGGCCCCTCCTTTGTGTGGCCCCTTCCAACACCCTGGGGGGCTCCTAGCAATGTGTTCACGTGGTCACATCTTTTTGTAAAATTGGCAAAAGTAGCATTTTAACCACAATCACTCAAGACGACCATCTCTTTTCACTTCAACATTCTCTCTGTCACAATTACCCCCACATTGGGTGATTTTAGGGTGACCATGGGCATTATATGTTCAAAATTTTGTGTTTTCTTACACAGAAATATATGCTCTAAGCTCCATGAAACTCAGTTTACCCTTGCCAAGATAACAGCCTAATCCATCATGCAGTTTCTTCGGGGGGGGGTCCCGCCTTTGTGCTGGGAGACTTTAGAGAATGGAGTGGCTTCCTGGAGCTTCCTGGCCCTCCCTCTGAGGCGGAGGGCACAGCTGTGCTTTCTAGAAGCTTAGCTCAGAGGACTCAGGCCTATCAGGAGAGTGGTGGCAAACTTCCAGATGAAGTATCTCTAGAGACCTTTTGCCATTTTTAAATTACATAATGTTCCAAATTAAATAATACGTGTACACATCACCCTGGGAAAACCAGGTAATTCAGATAGAGCAGCCCTCTCCCAAGGTGATCCCTTTATTAATTCGGTGTGTGTTTTCTAGACCTTTAGTATATATTTATATTCTTGCACCAGTTTATTTTGAGAAATATAGTTTTGTTTTATGGGAAATTTTTTCTGTATAAGTTGTATCATCCGATATATATTTTCTTACAAACTAGCATATTTTTACTCATCAACTTTTTGGCAAGGTTTTTCAGTGTTGAAAAAAACCTGCTTTGTTCTTTTGCTGTCTTGTGTTCCCTTCCATATAATGGAGATACCGTAGCTTATTTGGCTGTTAGCCCACTGATGATAGTGAGGGTGTTTCCGGTTTGCGGCTTTTACATAATGCAATGAAAATCTTTGTGAATTCTTCTTTGTATACCCAAGTGCTTCTGAAGGGTATGTGTGTTTTTAGTTTTAATACAGATACTGCTAATTGTTCTCTAAAAATGTACATCTAATCAATATTTCTCCATAGTCTCTCTGACCTTGATATTATCAATGAATTTTTTTTTTTGCAAATTAATGGGACAAAATGGCATCCCATGTTAATTTTCCTTAATCTCTTTATATTTTTATTGGCTATTGAGGTTTTCTCTCCTGTGAGTCGCCTATATGTATCCTTTGCCCATTATATATTTTCTTCTAATCTGTTGTTTCCCTTTTTACTTTGTGCTTTTTTTATAAAAAGAAGTTTTAGATTTGTAGATAGTCAAAATTTTCAATCTTTTCTTTATAGATGTTGCTCTCTTAAGTGCACTCTTAAGGCTTTCCTATCTCAAGGTGATAAATTCTGTGTTTTCTTCTAATACTTTTGTAGTTTTGTTTTTGACACCTCACTTGTTAATTCATATGGGAATTTCTTTTTTGGATGGAGCAAAGAAGGGATCAACTTTTACCTGTTTTTTTTCAAATAGCCAATTGCCACACAAATATTTTTGAGGAATGTATATTTTTTCATTTGTTTTGAAATGTGATCCTTGTCGTTCCTATATATATATATATTTCTATAATATTTATCCTGTTCATTAAAATACTTGTCTGCCTACAGCAGAATTTTGAATGTTGGAGCAAACAGTGAGTGTATTTGATACCATTTCCTTAGTTCTTGGTATTGGTAATACCGTGTCTTCTCTCTCTTTTTTCTTAATCATCTTGGCTAGAGGTTTGTCAATTTTACTAACCTTCTCAAATCCTGCTATGCCACCTGCTAGCTGGGTGATCATACTGTATATTTTCTGTTCTATTTTCCATACTTTAGTTGTTGTTCAACCTTTAGGGAGAGCTTATCAACTCTTGTCTCCCAACTCTTTCATTGAGTTTTTCATTTTTGCCATCATATTTTCATTTTTGAGAGCCCATTTTTGTTTCCGATTGTCCCCTTCCCATTTATTTATTTATTTTATATTACTATATTATTTACTATAGTTCCCTGAAAACATTGTTGATAATTTTTTGATGTTTCTTTTCCCTGTATGGTCTGTTTCCCCAAGTTGCTTTCTCCTTTCTGTTTGTTTTGTTCTCTGTCTTTCGGAGGAGCTGCGTTCTTCACTTGTCTGGTGGTCCTTAGCTCTCCCCTCATCTCTAAGGGCAGAGGTCACCGAGGAGCTGACAGGAAGCTCGGGGGGCGTGTCTGAGGCTTGTTGATGGTTTCACTGTAGGGTGCCCTCACTGGGCTGTTTTACTGGGAAGCACTCATATCGGGGTGTTGGATTACAGATTTTCCCTGCTGTCCAAAAGTAGAGTGCTCTTATGAAAACTTTTGTAAGACATCATGGCACAAAGCAAAGAAACAGTTACCATGAATTTACATGGAAAATTTTTTTAGCATACCCAGATCCAAAAAAATAACCTTTCTTAGGCTCTTCTGATACCACAAGACACCTCTTGCTAAGAAAGGCACAAAATAAACCAAGTTAAAGCCCTGATGCTCACAAAGCTCAAGGCTATGGCGCCTTGATGCTGAGCATAGTTCCCGGGAAAGGAGCTGGCAGGGCAGCTCTCACTGCTCGGAGTCATCCGCTGCCCCCACGGTGGTTCACTGCTGAATAAATGCTGAATGCTCTCTTCACCTTTCACCTTTTTTCATAAAAATGAAAATCCTGTTTCTTTTGGTTAATGAAAGCAGTTACTAATGGAGGCCTTTTATAAAAGCAAAGTGGCAGAATGCCAACTCTCAAAGCGAAGGGTAGTTGTATTTCCTTTGTAGCTGATCAGTTCTTCCCAGGGACGGCTCACGTGATCGCCTGCCTGACTCATAGAGCCCCGCGGAGAAGAGGGCCTGGGGACGGGGGATGATCCTTTTGTCATCAGCAAAATCTGTTTTGATACCATCTCCTTAGTTCTTGGTATTGGTAATACCGTGTCTTCTCTCTCTTTTTTCTTAATCATCTTGACTAGAGGTTTGTCAATTTTACTGACCTTCTCAAAGAACCCGCTTTTAGTTCCATTTCTTTGTCTCTATTGTTTTGTGTTTTCTATCTCACTAATTTCCAGTTCGATTTTTATTGTTTCCTTTCTGCTGATTACTTTGGATTAAATGTTTTCCTTTTCTTCTAGTTTCTTAAGGTAGAAGCTTAGTTCATTGACTAAGTTCTTCTTTTCTGATATAGGCATTTAATTCTATAAATTTACATCTAAGCACTGCCTTAGTTGCATTCTTTATATTTTGATATGTTATTTTCAAAAATACTTCAAAATACTTTCTAATTTGCTATTTTCTTTCTTTTCTGACCAATAGATTGTTTAGAAGCATGATGTTTAGTATCCAAATACTGAAGACATTCCAGACATCTTTCTCTTTTTTTTTTTGGTTTCTACTTTAATTCCATTATGACCACAGAACATACTTCATGTAATTTAAGAACTTTTTAATCTAGTGAGACATGTTTCATGCTTCATATATTTCGAAGCTCTTGTTATTAGGTGCATAAACATTTGGAATGTTATGGTCCCTTGATTAACTGAACATCTTATAATTTTTCAGTGATCCTTTGATTCCTCATAATATTCTTTGTTCTGAAATCTATTATGTCAGGTATAATATAGCCATCTTGGCTTTTTTTAAATTAGTTTTACAAGATATATCTTTTTCTATATTTTTACTCTTAATATATTGGTGTCATTATATTTAAAGTGAGTCTCTTTTTGACAGCATATAGTTGTGTCGTGCCTTTCTATACACTCTGACAATCTCTACCTTTTAATTGGGGTGTTTAAGCCATTTTTATTTAATATGATTATTGATATGTTTTAGTTTAATTTACCAGTTTGCTATTTACTATTTGTCCCATCTGTTTTTTCTTTTTTCTCTGCGTTTTTTTGGAATGAGTGTTTCTAATGATTCTATTTTTATCTCCTTTGGTTGGTTTATTAACTGTTGCTTTTCCCTATTATAGGACGTAGACATTTGTTTTAGAGGAGACGTTAAATTGAGTCTTCCAGTTCACATAATGAAGATCAAACCACCTAAACCAGTTACAGGTCAGTATAATTTAACTAATACTCTCTTTCCTTTTACCATTGATTTCTCAGTGTTTGTTTTCTTTGCCTTTCTCCACATTTCCCATCTTTTCTATTTTATTAGCAGCAATATCTAAATTATAAGTATAGTTCTAAGAGGAAACTTTTTTTAAGTCATAAACTATGCATGAAAGAGCAAGCCACATAAAGCTTATGAATGGTCCACAATGTATAAAGACCTCCTACAAATTATTAAGAAAAAGATAAATAATTCAGTATAAAACAGACAAGATTACTCAGATGGTCAATAAACATATGAAAGGTACTCAACATCATTAGTTATCAGGAAATGCAAATTAAAACCATAATGAGATACCACTCCACACCCACCACAATGGCTAAAATTAAGAGACTGACTATATTATGTTAGGATATGGGATAATCAGGCCTCCCTTACACAGCAATTAGCAATGAAAATTGGTGCAACTGCTTTGGAAAACTGTTTGGCATTATCTAGTAATGCTGAAGATAATTTATATCCTGTTACCCAGCATTTACACTCCTAGGTAGGGTTACCAACCTACTAATTTGCCTGGGACTGAGGGGTTCCTAGGATGTGGGGTTTTCAGTGTTAAACCAGGAAATTCCTAAGCAAATTGGGATGAATTGATTACTCTACTTCTAAGTATATACCTGATAGTTTTGCAAAGTAAATGTGTACCAGGTGACATGTACAGGAAGGGTAACAGTGATGTGATTTTTAATAGCCCCAAACATGAAACCAAAATGTTCTTCAAAAATAGAAAGATTAAACTGTACTATATTCATTCAATGAAATACTATACAGCCACGAAAAGCAAGAAGCTACAGTTATACATAGCAAAATGGATAAATCTCACAAAAAATATTAAACAAAAGGAGGTAGACAGGGTTAACACTGTATAATCCCATTTGTGTACAGTTCAAAGTCAGGCAAAACAAAGCTATAGCGTTTAGGAGCCCATTTAGATAGCAAAAGTAAAATTAATAAAGGTTACTTAAAAGCCAAGAGAGTGGTTATGCTCTTCCCAGGGGGCTGTGACTGGAGTGGGCCCTTGAGAAGTTTCTGGGGAGTGAGTGATATTTTATTTCTTGACTTGAGTAGGTGTTTGCTTGATAATAATTTGCTAAGAAACATATTTGTCTGCTCTTTTCTGAATGTGTTATATTTCACAATAAGAAAAAAGTTTCATTAATGAAAATAAGCAACAAACAAGGTCTGTGGTACTGACATGAAGTGATCTCCAAGATACTTTGTTAAGTGAAAACGAAGGGGTCTAGTGCATAATAACAGTTCTCAAACCCTAGCTAGATCAGACCCACCTGGAGGACTTGGTACCTGGATTGCTGGGCCTACCCACAGTTTCTCTTTCAGTAGGTCTGGGGTGGGGTCTGAGAGTCTGCATTTCTAACACATTCCCAGGTGACAGGGTCTCCTAGAAAGTTATGTAAGAAACCAGTAACAGTGGTTGTCCCTGGGGAAGGAGACCTGGGGTGCGGGGGGACCTCCTGGGCAACTGGAGGGACCAGGGCCCTTCCAAAGAGTGCAGTTCTGAAAGCTGGGCTGTAAGCCCAGAAAATAAATCACTCAGTCTTACTGTGGACTTGGGAATGGAGGAAAGAAAGAGAAATGGAAGGTTACTGGGAAGGGAAGTAATAAGAAAAGTGATTGGCAGAGACAGGAGATTGTTAAAGAAGGTGGTTGGATAAACGTAAACATAGAGACAGCTGGCTGTGTGGGTCCTCAGCAGCTGCTAAACAGGGACAGCGCCTGGCAGGTGGGAGACAGCGATAGTGATTTAGGTGTCCAGTGACAGAGTGTTTCCTTTGGAGGCTTTGTCATCCAGAAACAGGAAACGACGGAGGGAGGGAGATGGAGCCTAGACAGCAGCTGCTCTTTGCCTGTGCCTCCCATGGGTGGGAGGGAGTGAAGCCGGGGGGAAGACCCAACCCCTGGGCTCACAGATGGGTGACAGGACAGGAAGGGGTTTCTGAGGAGGAGGGATTCTGTGGGACCCTGGGAAGCGTGGTGGAGGGAGGAGAAAATCAGGAAGGGGGAGATCAGACGGTCTGACCAATTCTGGAATATTTTCAACCTAGGAAGCACATTCAAAAGCCCCTTGGAAGCTGTTGCAAAGCTAGAGGGCTGCTCTGGGCTGGGCTCGGGGCAGAATCACTTCATCAAGGACAGTCAGTGGGAACAGCAAAGGGCCATCTTCAGCGCCTCCTATGCGAAGTACCTGGACGGGGAGTGTGAGGAGCAGCCGCTCAGGTGAGCCGACAGGAGGCCCGGCCCAAACCCCCTGCTGCCAGGGAGCCTCGGTGCCCCCAGGGCTTCTCCTTGCTGGCACAGGCAGCAGCCAACCCAAAGAGCTGAAGCCATCCGGATCAACCCTTTCTAAAAGTTCTGTCTCGTTTGGGAGATTTTTCCGAGAACTTCAGCAGATCTTTTGAAAAGTTGTATGGAGATTGTTTAAATACAGTTAGAGCAAAAGCTGATAATATGGATTTGAAAGAAGGAATAGATACCTGTAGAGGTGAGAAGAAGAGCTGATTTTACAATATTATGTAGCATAGCATCTCTCAAAAATTATTTTTGTTTCCTGATCATTTAAACCACACAGAGGATCCTGAAGGTGGAAATAAAAGTCACCACTCTTAACATTTTCATTCAGTCTTTCTAAATGTAATGTGTATTTATTAAAATACATTATTTTCTAATCTCAGCCATCAGGTAGACCTTATTAACCCCACGTTGCAGTTGTCAAATCCAAGGCCAAGTCTTTGAAGTGTCTGGTGGAGCTGGTTTAGGAACTAGTTCTCACTAGCTGCTGCGGATCTCAGGAATGTTCCTGCCTCACACGGGAAGTGAAACCTCTCATCTTGCTGTCAAGGGGAGAGTTTTCCCAGCTCAGAACACAAAGTCCTAGGGCCAAGCCCCAGGAGCCACTACCTGAGATCCACACCAGCCCCTGGCACGTTACTGCTGTGCTGCCTGGCAAGGTGTTTAGATTTTGCAGGCCAGCTGTTAAACTGCTGGTAACTGTCCACAGTTGGAGTATTTATACCACAAAAAGCTACAAACCCTATCAATCAGGAAACTGGGGCTTTAAAAAAAGAAGAAAGTCAGTTTATCAGCGTATGGTTGTATTGGTCCCAGGATAAGAAAGCGTTTATGCACAAGTCTGGTCATTAAGAGATCTTCCCCGACAGAGATGGCTCTGCCAGGGTCAGGCGCTACCCAGGGGCTGGGAGTGACTCCCACAGCTTCCCCCATCCCGCCCCCACTGGCGTCCAGCCTCTGCACCCGCCAGGACCAGCACACAGAATGTAGTTTGCCTCATGGCCCTGCACCCCCGGGAAGGTCCATCCTGCCTACCCATCTCTGGTCTTAGTGCCATGACTGCCAGCCTCTCTCCTTGCCGAGGAGTTGCCCATGGCTCTGACTAGTGTCCCTTTCTTCCCCAGTACGGCCACGTTCCACTTCCTCCTTCCCAGCTGCATGACTACAATGCCAGCAGAAGCCCAGAGCCCCTCGGGTAAGTGAGCACGAAGCAGGCCGTCGTCCTGGACGAGGGGCCACCTTGGGTGAAGGTCTCAGCGAGCCCTCCTAGAGAGGTTCTGCCCAGCAAACCCTCATGGTGGGAGGGAATAGGGGGCACAGTAGGCTGCCAGCAGCAGCTTGACAGTATCCGGTTGAACCTGTGGCCCCCAAGCCAATTCCCTGGAAATGGAGCTGGCACTGCCTTCAGGGAGTGACCTGCCACCGAGGAGGGTGGGAACACATGTCCCACGGCTGCTTCTGGACATGAATTCATTTTGTAGAAAGTGTCCCTAGATGTGAAGCAGCCAAAGGGCAGTTGTGAGCACCCTCCCACCCAGGAAGGCAACGTGGCCCTGGCACAGCCCAGGGCTGCCCAGCCCTCCCCCCAGGAAGCTTGCCACGGCTTGGCGCTGCCCAATTTCAAACCATCCTCGTCTTGGGCAAACACTCTGGCACAAACCAAAGGCCACCCAGACTCCTCCTGTGACTTGCCTTTCCCTCTGCTTCCCCAGGGGCAGCCCGGGTCCTTGGCGTGCACTGGACTGGAAGCCACAGCTTCTTTCTCTATCCACTTAACCGGGCTCTAAAGGGTAAAGCCGGCACATTACTGCCACAGTGGGGCTGCCTGCGTGCACCAGGCTCACAGAACATGTCCCTCTCCAGCTTAGCTGGGAGCAGGACTTCAGGGGATCAGAGTTGTGCAGGCAGGAATGGGGGGCTGCGTGGCTGTGGTGTGACCCCAAAGCCCCATCTCTGAACTGTCATGTTTCTTAAAGACGACAGGTCAGTAGGGACAAAGCCCAGTCAGGCCCACAGGGCTCCTCGGGCAGCTGAGACCAAGGGGGTGTGGGCCTGTCATCAGAGGCCGGTCCAGTCCCAGCCTGACTGTCCACTGGGCATGCAGCCTCAGGTGGCACTGCACACCCCAGCCGGTTTTCCCACCTGAAACACAGAGCAAATTAATCACACCGTCCCTCCCTCCTGCATGCGTTTGCTATGAATGGCACAAGCCAGAGAGTTTCTGTACGTGAAAGCCCTTTGAAATTATTTCTCACAGACTCATGGAGGCAGTTACTGGAGCAAGTTCATTTTGTGATAATTCCTTGAGCTGTACATTTAAGCTATACTTTGGAATTCCACTTCAGAAGTAACATTTAAAAATTCACAAAAGGAAGACTTCCTTTCCTTCCATTCTTTTCCCAAGTAATCTGGCTTCTAAACTTCTGTAGTGCCCTTGGACAAGTCACTTTACTTCTCTGTCTCGGTCTCCTTATCTTTAAAATGGGGGCGCTAACAGGACATACTGCATAGGACCCTTATGAGAATTAAATGAAATGTTGCACGTGAAGTGTTTAGCACCTAAGTATTCATTAAGTGTCAGTTGCAGCAGGACGGGAGGGTGACTTACTACTTTATCTGAGGAAGGAGACAGCACTACGGAGAGAGGAGAGGGTGGCAGCTCCAGACAGGTGCTCCTGCCCATGTCGCGGGGGTGTCCAGGGGGTGGGGGCGGGCGGGCGCAGGGTCTGGAGGCAGCCTGCTGGCGGTGTCCCCCCCCCACTAGACCCCGAGGGCGTGTGGCCCTGTGCTGCGCCCATCACGGCCTCTCGGCTCAGCTACTCCTGCTCCCACCTGGTGCTGGCCTGCGAGGATGGCGTGCTCACACTGTGGGACCTGGCTGACGGTGAGCCCCCGCCTCTGCCTGACACCCGGCTGGGTCTCCGGGGACGGGGCCCCGGGAGCTCTGGAACTCCTATCATGCTGGGCCTTCTCTAGTCACTTTGTGTTCCTAAAGGCACCTTGGGGAGCTGTCCTGCCTCCCCCTCATCCATTCGTTCAACAAACATTTATTGAACATACTATATGCTGACACTCCCCATTCCCCATGTGTTGAGTGCTTGCCCTGTGCCCAGCGCTGTACCAGGCCTGGAAATATGGCCTTCACTGAGGCAGTGTCTTCAGCACTGATGCGATACATGGCAGCGTCAGCCTCCCCCTCCCAGCCCCGAGCTCCCAGAATAAGCGAGTCTTCCTTCCTGCTATTGTACCCGTACCCTGGTCAGCAGGGACCTCACTGTGCTGAAGCAGTGACCTATAATGTGGTCAGTGTGAGACCAGCGACATCTGGGCGATGGCACCTTGGTGGGGTCTGGGTGTGAGGATCCTGGGTCCTGGGTCCAGCTTTGTAGATACAGAAAACCAGGGGTATCCACTTACCCTAAATCCATCAGCCTCTAAGGGGGGGTCTCCCTCTACCAAACTTCTAAAGAAGCAATGAATGAATCAGTGGTTTGTCATTCTACAAAAGGACATGTGTCTCACTTGAGGGTAGTGGCAGGCCGTCTGCCCCGGGGCAGCCCTCTCAGCCGGGAGCTGGTGAGGACTGGAGGAGGCGCCCTGTGGGCCACTTCCTCCTGAGGAGCTCAGTGGTGTTCCCAAGAGGAGGACATTCTCCCCACGTGACGCCAAGATGAACATGGCTGAGGTTCATTCCCTGCACCCACAGCATTGTTAGAATATGGGAAGATACTTCAAGGACAGAAGAAGGATCATGATTTCACAATCCCTTGCCCAGTCGCTCATTTCCATTTTTCTGGATACTGATAAATTGGGCTACACACACACTTCCCCCTCCTTTTCTGAAACGCGCCCCCCTCAGATACACTTCTGCATCTCCCGGTCAGCGGTGGAAAGCAGGGCGCTGGCCTGTAGTTTCTGGGCGGACCTGGCGTCCTTCCTCCCAGTCCAGGCTGACGCTGCCCCCTCCCCAGCGGCTCCCCACACTTAGTGGGGGGCTCCCTGCAGGGGCTCCTCTCCCGCGGGCACAGGGGTGCCTGGTCCCCCTCACAGAGTGTGCTCACTGCTGGAGTTTGCCCTCGGGCCCCACCTGCCGGTCACAGACCCCGGCCCCACGGAGCACCCCTCTGCCCCCTTCCCGACCTGCCGGTGTGTACTTTCTCCAGGACTCCCGCTCGGGGTCATCGCCCTTCCTGAGGGGTGTTTCTGCCAAAGCATTCACTTCCTGAAACACTTCTTAGTCCACAAAGGACAGAACATGTATCCCGAAGGCCCAGTGACCTCCCGAATGAAATGTGTGGTGCTGTGCACAGACGCTTCTCTCCATCTGGTGGAAGCCAAGCGTACCCACGGGCCCACCACCCGCGTGCTTGTTGAGAGGTCAGTGGCTTGTGGGCGGGACGGGTAAACGATCCGCCACACAGGTGACACTAACGGCAAAAAACCAGACCTTTCCAGCTAGAGTCCACTTTCCCCATAGGCATCACTCTGCTGATGAGCTTCTCAGGATCACCAGTGTCTTTCACATGTAGACACACACACGCACACACACACACCAGGGAGAGAGAGGGAGAGAAACTGCTCTATACTGATCATCAAGATTAAGAAGCTGACCTTCAGTTCAGGTAAGGCTCTGCGTGCTTCTCCTTTATCACATCCTCCTCTCTCTCCTCCCCACGGTAACCCGCTTATTAGTCATCTGTTGCTGCATCAGTAAACCACCCACAACTCAATGGCTTAAGAAAACGGTCATTGCTCAGCTCCTGATTCTGTAGGTCAGCGCTTCCGTTTCGGGCTCAGCTGGGCAGCCCTTCCACGGGGCTCGCTGAGGCCGTCACGTGTGCCTGCGGGCAGCCGACAGCTCTGCCAGGGGCTGGATGGTCTAAGCTGGCCTCACTTACACACGGTGGGCGGCAGGCTGCTGGCCAGGGCACTCGGCTCCCCTCCTGTGGCCTCCCCTGCCAGCTGTCTCGCCCGATCACCTAGAAGCGTCCGGGTGCCCAGCAGCAGGCCGGGGCAGCCACACTGCCTGTCACATGGCCACACCCACATTCAAGCAGTGGAGAAATAGATTCCACCTTTTGATGGGGTTGCTGCCAAAAACAGCCATTTTTTTCCTGATCCACCACATCACTTTCCTAAATTCATGATTTCTTTGCTCTCTTTAAGAATTAACCACATCCATCTGACTGTATCTCTCATTATGTCGCTTAACTGTGCATATTTAGGGAATGTGTAAATGGAATAATCTTTTATGTATTCAGCTGGCTTTTCAATGCTATTTATTCTGTAACTTGCTTTGCAACATTGTTCATGAGAGTCAATCATGTTGGTGGATATGGCCTTTTATTTTCATTTTCAATATAGAATTATGTTTTCTATATTGTGTTCCATCATATAAACTCCACAATTACTTCAGCATTCTCACTGGCTATTTGGGTTGTTCCCAGTTTTTGCTGTTATGAACAGTCTCCGTATCTCCTGATGCTTATACCGGAGAGTTTCTCTAGGAATATGCTAGGAGATGATGGCAAAACTTTAAGACTCTTCCAGTAGGACTGCCTGCGTGTCTTGCTTCTTGTAGGCCAGAAAAGCACTTGGATGAAGCCCTCTGTGCTGTGGCCCCCATCCCAGCCTTACCGGGCATGGTAGGTTCCTCTCATTCCTCCTCAATGAACGTGGTCATTTCTCCTTCAAAGACTATTTGCTGAAGGCATATCATGTGCTAGGCCCTAGACCAGCCTGGGCGCCAGGTACAGAGAGAAGGTCCCCGCCCTCACGGGGCTCATGATTCAGCTGGGAAAACAGACACATCGCCAGGCAGCTGCCCTAGAACGTGACAAAGGCTCACGTTGCATGAGGTAGCGGCCGCCGTGTGACAGAGAGAGGGGTCCCCTACCTAAACTGCAGCAGTGGGGGACAGGGGGTGGCAGCACCGCAGAGCTGAGCCATAGGAGCTAAGGAGGCGGCACCTTGAAGCCAGAACACAGTGTGTCCGGTGCCCCCCGGGAGTCCCCAAAGCCACAGACCAGAACCCTGGGGGGAGGGGCCAGGCAGTGGAGGGAAGGGCCACTTGCTGGGGTGGGGTGGGCCCAAGCCTCAGGGGAGCTGCAGTGAGGTGGGGGCTGGAGGGGGAGCTGCGTGCTCAGACAGGACAGAGGGTGAGGGGATGGAACCACAGTTCTGGGTGGCCTGTGGCTGTAGCCACAGGAGAGGGAGGCATGGGGCTGACCCCCTGACCCTTACGGGGCCTGCTGAAGGAGGCCCTGGCCTGGAGGGAAAGGGTGATTGCCGGTGTGCTCCTGCCGTGGTGAGGGGGCCTGTGGGACCCCAGAGGAGGCTCTGAGAGCGCCCTCTGTCCGCCAGCGCTGGTGGCGGTTAAAGCCAGGGTCCCAGCAGGTTCCCCCGTTCAGACAGAGGAGGTGGGTAGAGATGAGGTTCCCAGAGGCATGGCCATCACTTACGGGGCCAGGAAAATGAGCTCGTGGATGACTGAGGGTCACCCCAAGTGAACCCGGAGGGGAGTGTGGAGAAGGCTCCAAACACCAGGAATGGCACAGTGTCCTGGGCAGGAGAGAAATCAGTGCTTCGTGCCGCCTAGTGTCCGCGGCAGGGGCAGATGGCGAGCAGAGGAGAGGGGAGAGGCCCCACGTGTGGCGACAAGGGGGAGAAATGGGGCAGCAGCTGTAAGGGGGGGAGGGGGGGCTTTTAAGGAAGTGGGAGAGTTCAGTATGTCCATCTAGAGAGAGAAAAGAGCCCCACCTGGGATCTCAGGTGGTCAGGTGGGGGGGTCCTGCACTGAGCAGGGTCCCCAGGGAGTCGGGGGAAGAGTGTCTGCCAGATGCAGGCTGAATCCTGGCCTCAGGGGGGCGCTTTTCAGCAGAGAGTTTGGGGGACTGGAAAGAGAAGCCTGCACAGGAGGGGGAAGGCCAGCCAGGGTCCCACACAGCACCCGGAGGGGCCGCTGCTGCTGGGGCGCCGCAGGGACCGACACACACCCCTGCCATTGTCCTAAACAGCTGTGGGTGGACCCCGGGCCGGGGCCCCAGGAGCGAATGAGTGCTGTCTGTCTGTTTGTCTGTGTGTCCAGCAGCTCCTCTGCTTCCGCGCCAGGTGAGCGCCAGCACCGAGTCCCCACCCACCATCTCTCTGCTGGGCAGGTGCTGACCTTCTCCAGGAATGGCTCTGTGCGCCTCCTGGATGTGGCCGTGCCTCAGACCGTCTGTGCCTTCGCCCCGCCCAGGCCCTACCGCCTGGCGGCCCCCTGGGAGCCAACGTTTGTTGTGTCTTTACACCACCCATACTTCCTGCTCCGAGGTATGAGGATGCACCCTGGGGTGGCTGCCGACCACTTCCCTGACTTTCTCAGGCCCTCACCATGCGCAGGCTGACCCCATCCCCTCCAAAGTCTTCGTGCCCAAGGGATCCTGCTGCTTCGTCATAGGCAGGCACCTAGATACACGCCAGGTAGGGGCTTCTCTCTGGGCTCCTCCGGGTCCAGTGAGCCCCTCACACAGGCCAGTGACCTGGTGCCTGGCAGACAGCAGCCCCCACGTGCCGCCCAGGCCTCAGCGCATGGGGGAAGCAGCCATTCCTTGGGGGTCCACAGAACCTGTCTTCTTGTCCCACCTCAGGAGACAGCCCAGATGAAACTGCAACCACGGACCAAGCCAAGGACACCCCACATTCTGTTTTCTATTTTAATTTTGAGGCCTACCCACTCCTGGAAAACATCGCAAGAAACCACACCATTCCTCGGACTGACTTAGTGGGTGACACGGCCTTTGCACGGGTGCTGCCCTTGGAGAAAAGATGCGAGGATTTCCTCCGGATGAGGTAGAGGTCCCGGGGCCCCAGCCCCACCCCTGGGGCTGTGTCTGGGTCGAGGAATAGTGGAGCTGGTTGGATGCTGAGATGGTGCCGCCGTTACATTCTCTCTTCCGTACAGGGCTACGTCGTGTCCTAGCCCGGGGGCCACACTCGGTTCCCTCCCAAGTGCGTCGGAAAGGAGAAGTGAGTTCAGGCTGGTCTAAAGGAGGGCCATTTGTCGGCGTTTTCTCCTCATCAAGACCATCTTTCTTTTTGCTTTCTCAGTTTTTTTTGTTTAAAGGCTTATTCGGATCATTAGACACAGTCATCTAAGACAGTGGGCGGCAGACCCCAGCCTCTGGGCCAAATCGGCCCACTCGCTGCCTGTTTGTGAAAATGAACTTTCGCTGGAACATAGCCATGCTCATTTGCTGATGTCTTACCAAGGGCCGCTTGTATGCTTCAACAGCAGAGCTGAGCAGTGGCGACAGAGAGCGTATGACACGTAAAGCCCACGGCACATACTCTCTGGCCCTTTATAGAAAATGCTGCGAGCCCCTGAGGCCCTTCCCTCCATTATCCTCTAGAGAAACGGTTATGTGCTGCATTTCTCCTCTCCCCGTTCCCGTCCCGTGCACTGTGCGTGTGTTCCCTTCTGCTACGAACACACAGTGAGCTGTACGCAGGCCATTCCGGAGGAGCGGGTGTCTCTGTAATCCATCCGCAGCGCATTCTGGGGGAATTGCAAATTCTTGCTGATGGTTACCTTCATGAGCATTTCAGGTGGAAGGGGGGTCATAGTGGAGCCCTGATTTCTCATGGCAGGCCTGCCACTGCAGAGCTAGGTGACTTTGGTGGCGGCCCCTTGCCTGCCTGGGGCCTTGATGCCCCCTCTCCAGCATGAGCTCTGAGAGCTTGTGATGCTCCAATCCCCTAGCATCCCTTCACAACCACCCCCCTTCTCTGTGGACCCTCCCCTCATGGGGGATGGAGCAGAATGGCTGAGATGCTCAGGTCTGCATTCTGACACTGCCCTTCACCTGGGAGGCCCCGGCTGTGTTCCTTAACCTCTCAGAGCCGTTTCTCCATTCATTCAAAAAGATTTGTGGGGCACCTACAGTATACCAGACAGTGTCCTGGACATTTGGGTGAAGCCTCACCTTCAGGTTTTGTGGGCATTCAGTGAGATAATACATATAATTAATAAATACAACCTAGGCACAGGGTGATACACAGGCTCACTAAACAGGAGATAACAAGGACGACGGGTTCCCTCCGCCTTAATTCAAGTTCATGCCGGGGGTAATTCCTAATGTGACCACTAGGTAGCGCCACAGCTCCTCATGACTGCACTTCCCTTGGGCGGTTGGTCCCTTCGCGGGTAGGGCTGGGATGCTTGGGTGGTTTTCAGCACAGGCGGGAAGTCCACCCATTCGTCACCCGACAGTATGGCATCCGGGTGTTGGGGGAGGAGGACAGTGAAGGAGGGGTCAGTTGACATTGCCCCTAATTAGAGACTTACTGAGAACGCTCAGCACTACCTCCCGTGGGGGTTTCTTACTTTGACTCTTGACGGAGATGCAACTGAGGAATCTGCGGGTGGAGTAATATGATGTCAAAACTTAACTTTCACGTGGTCCAGAACAGTGTAGAAAAGAGAGAGAGAGAGAGAACATGTTAGCACTGGGGAAGCCCAGGAGAAGACAGAGACGGAGAGACGGAGAGGGAGGCGCGGCGAATACAGGGGCAGGTTTACTGGAGTGCCTGCAACTTCTCTGTAGGTTTGAATTTCTCTCAGTAAAAATGGGGAGAGGTTATAAAATATTATTTACAGTATAATCCTGATTTTGAATAAAAGGGAGAAGACTGGGAATAGTAACTGTGGTTGTATTTGGGTGATGAAGTATGTGTGATTTTTCTCTTTGTATTTTTCTTATTTGTACCTTTTCTACAAAAAAATATGCATAATTTTGGAAAATCTAAAACAAAGGTTAAAAAAAAAGGTCAAAGGTATGTAGTTAGGCCACGGCTACAGTGAGGCCACTCACTCCTTCAGGGTGAGGTCATGGCTTGGAACTTTCTGGTGCTCTTGCCTAATGAGGCCCAGAAAATTCCTAGTTTAATGAGCTTGTTTCCGTTTTGACCTTCTGTCTAACCCCCTCCTTTTACTGCGTTGAGAACAGTGAGCCTCCCCAGTCTACCCAGAAGCCACTGGCTGCCCTCCCTGTAGGGATGGACCGCAGGCCAGCAGCTCCAGGTCTGGGGCGCTCACCTCCTGCCTGGCCAGGAGGGCGCAGCCAGGGGCCCTGACTGATACACCCACCCTCACGCAGGGTGCAGGTGCAGGGTGGGCTCAGACCCCTGCCAGACCCCACTCAGCCCATGCAAGCTGCTTCAAGTGTAGAGCTACCGTAACAGAGTAACTCCCCGCTGCACAAAGTGCTGTTCGTTATTTCTGGCCTAAGTTATTTATTCACTTGTAGAAATTTGGAACACAGGTCAATACAAAAACGAAGATTCAATTAGTCCATAATCCATCACCAAAAATCCCATTATGCCACCACTAATATGCTAGTGAATTCCCTTCAGGTTTCTTCTTTGGCATTTCCACTAAATTGAGATCATGTTTCGTTTCAGTTTTTAAATCTAGGCTTATGTCACTCGAGAGCTTAACTTAATGACCTTTAATTTTAAGGAAAATTTCCTTGACAGTACGGTTGGGAAGCCTGTGTACTTTCCTTGGAAGGGTGTCCAACACACTTCGCACCCCCTCCCCCACCCCTGAGGCCGGGCCTCCCCTCCTGGGCAGAGGACAGCCCCTCCTGCCCTGCCCTCCACCAGCCTCTGGAAACCCAGAGCCCACCTCCCCTTCCCAGCTGCCCCTCCGTCTGGCCGAGCTCCTGGGACCCAGGCCCAGCTCCCCCCAGGGAGGCCCCACAGCAGCTGGCTGGGCAGGGCAGAGAGGACTTCCTCCCCGGGCACCTCTGCAGGGAAAGGGCTGGAGTCAGTGCTGCGGACAGTGTGTGGCATTGCAGGTGGGCAGGGCAGGACTTGGGGCTGACCCCGCTCAGGGAGCCTGGGGAACTGGGGAACCGAGCAGCTCAGGGAAGTGCGCCCTGGTCCAGGGACCAAGCAGGAGCTGGGAGGGGCGCACTGTGTGGCTGGGGCAGGCCCAGCTCGACGGAACCTTTATGTGGGCCTGGTCACAGCATTCAAATCATATCCCCTGTGGGTGGCCACCTCCACTGTCTTGTCCTGACCATGGACATGTGTACGCACCGTGTCCCCAGGCTGGAAAACAAGCACATGCAGTCCCAGCTCTGCAGCCACCTCCCAACTCCCAGGAGAGGAGTCCGGCTCCGCAGCCCACTGCACGCTCCCCAGGCCACTGTGGCCCCATCCTCCCAGCCCAGCACCCTCACAGTCATTTTTGTGACTTTTCCATAATCCCTCTGTAGGATAAATTCTTAAGAGGTGGCCCTTCCAGGTTCTGGGATAGGCACATTTTAACTGGCAGCTTCACCCCCTGGGGGCCTGCAGGGAGGGTGGGTTCACTGTGTCCTTAGCCTTTCCCCACACTGGCCAGGAAATAAAGGACAAAAGCCGGTGGCTCATTATGATTTCACTTTGGAAATGGAGAGGTTGAGGTCTTTATGTCACCAATACTTTCTCTCTCCTTCTGGGACCTGCCTGGGGTCTTTTCCCCATGGGTAGGCTCATTTTCTTTTGACTTTAATAAGAGTTCTTTGTCAATATGTTGTAAATAACTTCCTAGTTGGTCATCGGTTAGGAGGGATTTTCGTTGCTTGTTTAGCAAGTTTGGCTTCCGGTGTTTCCTTGTTTGAGAGGTGGCTGTGAAGAGCCTCAAACTCAGGGAGCAAGCCCTGCAGTACGACTTCCAGGGTTGACTGGGGCTTCCAGCTGTGTCACTGGGGCAGACCTCAGTGTCCTCTTGTGTAAAACAGGTGACATTCGTATGTCCTTGAGGGACGTTGCCTGGCCGCTGTACTTTATTACTGATCATTAAGCCTTTCTACACACCAACATTGTACTTTAAGCATCACCCACTTTAAGTACACTACGGCTTTATTTTTGGTCTTCCTTTTAAATTGTGTCCTGCTTCCACCCATTTGGCTTGCCTCCTGGATGGTTGCTCATTGATGCCACGTTGTTCCGACCCCCTGGCCCAGAAATTTCACTTCCACTTTTTTTTAACCAGCCTCAGATGTATTATTATGATTTTACTGAGCACCTGCTGTGTGCCAGGTACTATGCTAAGTGCTTTGCGGGCATAATCTTATTTTTTGCTATTGTTCTTACTCCCACTGGGCCGTGAAGGAAGCTGAGGCTGACAGAGGTCAAATCGCCCATCCAAGGACACCAGCTTATAAGTGAAGGAGCTGAGTTTGAACACAAGCAGTGCAAGTCCAAAGCCTGATTCTCTAGCCTGCATGCACTCTGCCTCCCCCGCTACCCGCTCCCACACACAAACACGCGGCCGCGGTCCTCCCAGCCCTGGTGACATTAGCGAAAGACTGGAAACCTGAGTGCCATCAAGAGGGAAAAGGATGAGGCAGCCTGTGTGTGCTGCCCGAAGTGAATCTAGGGTGCATCTCATCAGTGAAAAGAGCAGGATGTACAATAGTATATCTCACATTTCTGTTTAAGTTAAAAAAAAAAAGATCATATGTGCATTTATGCTTGTGTGTGTGTAAACCGTTTTCAAGGAGCTATTATAGTTGATTGAGGAGTAGGAAATAAGGATCTGAGGTAAGGGATTTCATTGTAAACCCACTTATATTTGTTTTATTTGTTTTCTGTTTTTTTTTTAATCAGAGCATAGATCACTTTTTCAAATGAAAGGTATTTGAATGCATTGAATGCCAAACACATCTCCACGTGGGAGCCTCAAAACAAACCCAAAGCTGCAGTCATCATCTTTCCCCCCTAAAGTGGCCTTCCTCCTGTTTCTCCTAAGCTTTTCAACATCATCTGGACACTTAGGACCCCAGGCAGCAGCCGGGGCTGCAGCGGGCACCCCTTCTCCAGAACGAAGGCTGCCTCCACCTGCTCACAGCACCCACTCTGCCTGCAGCAGGAGGGGTGAATCCTGGGCTTCTCCAATTCTCCCGTACTGAACATGCATATTTGCTATCTTAAAAAAATGACCTCTTAATTTTTAAAAGCCCCACACAAGCGCCTTATCTTCTGGGAGCCCTCGGCAGGCGGGTGGACCTCTTGCTTTCTGCATTCACCACCACTGCACTGAAATGCGTCCGTTACAAATGTTCTTTTACTCTTGTTGCCCTGACTAAACTGGGGAGGGGATCTGCCGACACCTGCACCTGGGCCTGTCACTGTAGACGCTCAAGGAACGTTTGTTGAATGGACTCGCCGGCATTCTGATGCATCAGAGACATTGAGCGCCTAGAACCCCCAGGCCTCCTGACATGGCCCTCCTCCTGGTTAGAATGCTCGACCTGTCACCCTCTCATTCATGACAGGTGTTGCGCGCCCGCTGCGCAGCGCGCCGAGGCCTGAGCATTCAGCCAAGAGGCAGGTGCGCCGCCGGGAGATGTGCGTGTATCAGCACGGGGTGGTCGCGGTCTGCCCTGGGGACCTTGGGGAAGGGGCACCAAGGGGTTCCTCTCATCTCCAGTGTGTGACCCGCAGGTTTCAGAAACTGGAGAACGAGGTGAAGGAGCAGGAGCCCTGGACCCGGCTCCAGAGGTGTGCCCTGCTTCTCCAAAGAGAGCACCCCGAGGAGTACCTGGCTGCTGCCATGGGCTCTCGGGAAGGCTGGCGGCAGGCAGGCTTCACCCCAGGAGGCCCTGCGGTGCAGACACGACGACAAAACGCTGCAGCTCAGTAGGCCCCTGGGGCCTGGACTTGCAGCTGGGGCCCGCTGTAGAGCCAGCAAGGGGAAAGGTGCGATTTGGGGGGACCTTCAACCCCTAAGCCACCTGCAAGAGCCCTCCAGAGGGCAGATGTGTCACCCAAATAAACAGTGATATTGCTTCCAGACTTCAAAGTTACTGTGGTGTGTAACCCTTTGTTCCCACCCTGTCCAGATCCCAGCAGCGCCCCTGCAATGGTTTCAGCCCAAGTCCCAGGCCTTGTGAGGACCACCTGCCTTAGAGACCCAGGAGAGACACTTTGCTCAAATGAGCATGATGCGGAGCCCAGCCCAGCTACTGTGTGGCCGTTTTTCTCTCCACCCACTTCTTTTCCCTCTGTGCTGGCTCAAAAGCTTTATGGAATCACTTTGGAGATGCAGAGGCTCAGAGTGGTTGAGTGACTGCCTGAGGTCACACAGGTATGAGAGGTGGTAGGGCCAGGCGAGGGGGCAGGCAGGAACCGTGCTGTGTCACTACTGCCTCTCGCCTGCTGACCTGGGAACACTAGAAGAGGCTTGGGGTCTTGGGGCACAGCAGGGGAACAGAGAAGAGCCTCTCCTCTAGAAACTGCCCTACCAGGAAAACTGGGTGGAGGGGTCCCCTGCCTCTCTGAGGACACCGTGTGGTGCTTTTGGGAACTGCAGGCAGTTAGCATTGCCTGCTTCCCTTGACAAACTGCACTGTGCACAGGCCTTGTGACAGGCCGCATTCTGTGTCCCCATCCACCTCCTCCCCTGGGTCACACACGCTCTTCGTGGCATGACACCTTCCTCACGGAGCTGGCACTGACTAGCTGACTGGGCCCGGGAAGAAGGGGTCCCACCTGAATTCCTCCGTCCCTCACCTTCCCTACCATGGGAATGAAAACACAGCAAAGTGACTTTCTACAACGATCCTTACTACACAGCAGGCCCTGTGGCCTCTCTCCTTGGAGATGAGGGCGGGAAACTTTGGATGGCGACCCCAGCCCCACACACCATCTAAATGAGATGGGGAACTGACATTATGGGGCAGCTACTGTGCCTTGTGTCTCATATTTAAGCCTTAAGCAGCCTCGTGAAATGTGGGTGTCATTCTCCCCGCCTTACAGAGCAGGAAGTTGAGGCTCGGGCTACAGAGCTTGGAAGAGTTTGTATCAAGCCCTAATGGACTTTTTCAACAGCAAGTGTTAGGAACCCGACTCAAGCTGACTTTAGCAACAGGGGAATTTGTTGGCTAATGTAAGAGTCCAGATTTAACGCTTTCCGTGTAACCGGAGCCATGAGATGTTGGGTGACATCAGGAATCTCTCCACCTCAGTTCTGACTCACTTTCCAGGTAGACCCAATGCTTGGGCAGCAATACGACTGCCAACAGCGCCCACACTGAGTGTCCCTTCCCGACGGTCCCAGCAAAGTTCTAAGCCCGCTGTTCCCTGACCTGAATGTGGCTGCAGTCCGGAACGGTGCGCTGTAATGGCCGAGCAGCCGCGGCACATGCCCATCCCCAGAAGGACATGGAGTCATGCCCACCCAAACGAAGGAGGGGAGAGCTGTCTGACGGAGGGAATGACGGGCCACAAGGGAAGAAGCTGGAGTGGTGCCTAGCAGGACAGGACAATGGAGGTGCCCTGTCCACCCTCTCCAAAGCCATATGCTGCCCACACCAGCCACCTCCCCATTTCCCAGTGTGTGTGCAGTGGCCAGAGGGTTGGGCATTCATAGGGCACCTTATATACTGGGCCCCACAGGAGGGACAAGGGAGAGGGAACCAGGGTCCAGCAAAATGCCAAAAGATGGGCAGAAGCCGCCCAGACCAGTGCTGGGCGGGGGGTCCAGGGCTCTGGCCCCTCTTGGAGCTGGGCACCACGGGGGCCAAGGCGAGTGTGCCATGGCCTGCAGAGGTCCTTGCCCTGGGGTGACGGAGCCCCTTGGAAGCACCAAGAGCGTCAGGTCTTCTCAGGGGGGTGCTGGGCCTGGGGGAAGGCTGGGACCAAGAGGCAGCAAACAAGCGCTCACCCTCAGGGCTGTGCAGATGCAGGGGCAACACCTGGGGTGGCAGGAGTGCAGGGTGGATAAAGTGGCCCTTGGCCTCGTCCTGAGAGAAGCAGGGGCTTTGCAGTTAGGGCTAGATTCCACACCCAGCCCTGTGCCACCTTGGTTCTCAAGGTACGGGGTGTTTCAGAATCCTGGGGCACCCATGTGCCCTTCAGAGGGACCTGTTAATTTAGCAGTGCATGGCCCTCCTCTGGGTGCACCACCCACCCACCCAAGGCCCAACCCAGCCTCTCCAGCCCTGCTCCCGGGACAGTCTGCCATCTTCATATGCAGACAACTCATGACCACTATTCCTTTCCTTGGTCCTGGGCTCATACTGTGACCCCATGTGGCATGTCCTTGAATAAATGTCTTGAATACAGAAAGATCCGCCTATCATTTATAGTGAACTCTTCAACGTCGGCATTAGTAACTTTTTTCCAGATATGCCTCCCCAGCAAGGGAAACAAAAGCAAAAATAAACAAGTAGGAGGATATCAAACTAAAAAGCTTCTGTACAGCAAAGGAAACCATCAACAAAATGAACAGGCAGCCTACTGAATGGGAAAATATATTTGCAAATAAAGTATCTGATAAGGCGCTAACATCCAAAATGTATAAAGGACTCATACACCTCAACACCAACCCCCCCAAATAACCCAATTAAAAAATAGGCAGAGGACCTGAATAGACTTTCCAAAGAAGATACACAGATGGCCAACAGACACAGGAAAAGATGCTCCACATTACTAATCATCAGGGAAATGTGACTCAAAACCACAATGAGATAGCACCTCACACTGGAGTGGCTGGTATCAACAAGACAAGAAATGACAAGTGTTGGCGAGGATGTGGAGGAAAAGGAACCCTCACATACTGCCTATGGGATTGCAAATTGGTGCAGCCACTACGGAAAACAATATGGAGGGTTCTCAAAAGACTAAAAATAGAAATACCATATGACCCAGTAATTCTACTTCTAGGAATTTACCTGATGTAAATGAGATGACTACTCCAAAGAGATATATGCCCCCCTACGTTCACATTAGCATTACACTAGCCAAGATACAGAAGCGACCAGTAGATGAATGGATAAACAAGGTGTGGTGTACATGTATAAATGGAATATTACTCAGTCATAAAGAGTACATTCTTGCCATTTGTGACAACATGGATGGACCTACAGGGTATGATGCCAAATGAAGTGAATCAGACAGAGCAAGACAAACACCACATGATCTCACTTACTTGTGGAATCTAGAAAAGAAAAGAAAACAAATAAACAGAACTGAAATAGACTCTCAGACACAGAGAACAGACTGGTAATTGCTGAAGCAGAGAGATCAGGGCATGGGGGACATAGGTGAAGGGGAACGAAACTAGGGAGAATGTTTGGTATCTTGAAAAAGCAAGCAAGTTCAGCTTCGCTGCACCTCATTGAAACACGGGCCCATCCAGCATCGGCTTCTACCCAGCACAGCTGTCTCAGCAGCAGCTACACGTGTGGTCAGCAAGCAGAAGCAGGATGCCTGCTGGCAAGGGCACTGGCAGCCCATGTGCATTAAGGGGCTCATTTTACACCCCTGAACACGTGCATGCTTGCTGGCTGGGGCTGCTCCAAAGACTGGGTTTGTCCACCACTACCCACCATTGTTCCCACCCCAACAGCCCTGTTCTAGCTTCATGAGAAACTCCTTGATCTCTTTCAGTGTCCTGATCTGTAAAACAGGTGATAACACACACCTGCCCACCTCACCTGAAATAACTGGGAATCAGGTGGTGGCCTTCAAGCCCTACATGCACAGCCCGGCCCGCAGTGGCTGCTCCCTGTGTGCCTGTTTCTGCCGCGTGAGCTCTGACCCCTCGGGCTGTGACGGCAGCTGTGCGGGAGAGGAGGGCCGCACGGTGACCGCAGCGACCGGGGCGGGGCCGATCGGCAGCAGGGCTCCATCTTCCCTTGCCCCCTGCTCTTCCCGGCCGCGGGCACACTGCCAGGGCCGCGGGGGTGGGGGGCACACCGCCCAGGACCGTCCCCTCCGTGAGACAGGCTGCCTGGCTGCAGCCAAGGCAGCGGGCCACGTGCACGCACACAGGCTCACTCAGTCCCAGCGCCACCGGGGGACATCTGCAGGGCACGATTGTCAGCCTCGTGCCCACTTAACTTTTCCATCCCTAAGATGGCCTGCTAACAGGTTAGCTGAGAACAGAGAGGGCACTCGCCCAGGGCTCACCTACCTGGACGCTGTCTTCTGTCCTCATCCCTCTGACTGGCACCAGCAGGGTCTCTCTGGGTGTGACTGCGGCCGGCCCAGGAAGGCGGTGGGGTGCAGGAGCTGGGGACGGCAACCCCTTCCCATCTCCAATTCTCTCTTATTAGCAGGGACGTGTTAATGAAAATTCACACCCAGGTGCTAATCAACAGAGGCCGCTCCCGGTCTCTGAGAGGCAGGAGAGGCTCTCTGCAGGGGCGGGGGCTGGCCAATGAGCCCCACTTATCTGTGAAAAGACTTGCTAATAACTTTAATTCCCCATCTTGAGCCATGGGACCTTTGCCATGCAAATAGATTCCTAAACTGGGTAGGTTCCTGGAAAAGACTTGCCGTGCCGCTCCAGTTAGGGTCCTGGGAGAGGGTGAAGGTGCGGGGAAGGGGGGACCAGGTGTGAGGTCCCACACCCCCCCCCGCCGGGCCTCTGCTTTTGGACCCCACCCTCTGCAGCCAAATGCTGGCCGGCGCCCCTGGACTCCTGAATTACACAGCAGGGCCCCCCATCCCATTCTGTATCTCTGCCCCTCCAGACCTGCGCTTGAGCTGGAAATGATCGCTGCGGCGGGTGGAGGGGCGGGGGCGGGGTTCAAAACAAACCTATCAATATCAATGGCTACACAGGTAAACTGTGGCCTA